ACTGCAACATTCAGGGAGCGGAGCACCCAGTGGCAGAAAGAGGGCAAGACGGAAGAGTGTTCACTTGATTATGTTAGTGTTCTTGCTGCAATTGGTCTGGTTTGTTCTGCGGCCTGTTGTGATGAACGGAGAGTGCCGTCTCAACCTTCCGTCGGTGTGTTGCCGATGACCCACGTGAAGCCTGGTTCGGTCCGAGCGGTCTGGATATGAGTTTAAAGGCGGGTTATTTTGGGGACCGGCTAACAGGCGCATTCGGGGGAAGGCACACACCACCCCCGGAAGGGCCTCAATGGATTCAGAGCACCATGTGGGGTAGGCCTTCGGGCCCAGGGGTTGTCTGCAGCCCCTACACCCCGTGCAAGCGAGCAAGCAAGAACTCCGCGTGGCGGAGGCGGGGGAGTTCCCACTGTCATCGTGAAAGCAGACGCCAAGAAGCTCACTTGCACCTGCACACTTTCGCTTGTCGCACTAGGCCATAGACCACAGAGGATTGGCCAAGGCAAAGCAAGAACGAAAGCCAAGCCGCAAGCGAGCGCCAGATGGGCCAGAGCCAGAAGAGAGACTCGTCGGCCGTCTGGCTATCTCAGATTCCGACTTGTCGTGTCCAGGTCTGGATTGGTGACCGCACCAGACAACTTGACTGCGCCGGCTCTCCAGTTGGAAAGCTCGAGCTGCAGGGGAGAGGAAATTCACCTGCCGAGATCGCAAGCGGATGCGTTTGAAGCGACAATGAGCTAAGGCGCACATTGAGTACTTCAGGGGAATTGCAAACCCCATCGGTGTGAAAGTCGGCCTTCACCTTACTTCATTGCTTCATGTTGCTTCCCTTGTGCTGTGCTCAGGCCCTTGCAGGAGAGTCCCCGTTGCAGTTCTTATGTCCCCCTCAGCGATTGGAGCTTCCCAAGCACACAGCATTGGCCTTCGTAGAGGTCCTTCGATGAAGAATGACGAGTTGAAAGAGTTGGTCACTGCATTGTCCTAAGCCGATCGGAAGAAAGCCACATGCCTCGGACATTCGTTGCGTCGCTTGCGACAGCCTCCACGTGCCCCAGAGCTCCCGCATCGAATTCTGCGACCCCTCGGCCCAAGGTTCTGAATCCCAACAAGGAAGAGGGTAGGCCCCGGCCGAGCCGCGAAGTTGTCGCATTTGGGAAATTCAGAGATGCTTCGTAACCCTGGACAATCGTGAACTTTTCTGATGCATAGAGTCGTAGGACGTGTGCGCCGAAGCAGGCTCATGCTTATCACTCGCTACGGCGCTGGAAAGGCTGAGGATTGAGCCGCACAATTGCCGGCTGCTGTTTCAGTTGGTGATTCTGTTCGCGTCGGCTTCCCCTATCCAGTTCCTGGTCGATGAATTTGGGTTCATGGCGACGAACCGCAGCAATGATCAATCTCAGTGTGAGTGCGCAGGCCATGCTGCCCGGCCACATCCAAGCAGCTGGTCGCTCAGCTTCCCAGGAGCCTGATGCGCTCTGCTTTGCGAAGGGTTTCTGCTGGTGAATCGCCATGCCATGCTAGACTGTGATGCGAGTTTTCAGGTCAAAGACAGTGGAGTGCCCGTCGTATGGTCGCGGTCTGAGAGGAGAAGACGAGCTTGCGGGCTTGACTTAGACGTTCTTTCTGCCCGCGTCGCGGTCGCACCTTGAGGCAATGCGATGGCGTGCATGGCAATGGGATCGTTGCCAGCAACAAATACAAAACACGTGCCCTTAGCAGCACAAAGCTGTGGTCTGTCCTTAAGCATAGGCAGCTCCGGTTTCTGTCGGTCATGAGCTACCAGCTGCTACCATGGCCCAGCATGATTCCCTTGAAGTGAGGCAGCTGGGACGCTATTGTGACAGAGGTTGCGGAGGTGCCTGCTAGTTGCGGCAAGACGGGAGGATGCATGATCCACCGTGCCTGCAGACAACACAGCATATCGCTTGTCTGTGCATTGCGTTCAGGAATATGTGACGCCAAACGTGCATTGAATAGTTTCTTAGAGCACTAACTAGAGTGAATGCCCATTCCTCGGTGCGTCAGCTGGATGAAAAATGCAGAAATTTGGCTCAGCGATCGAGTTGCAAGAACCTCCCGACCAGCGCCATGGCCGTGCCTTGTTTGCACTGCTTAGCCTTTCGGCCGCCGACGTGGCAATTCATCTGAGTGGCTAAAGGACGTTCTCACCTGTGCCGAAACACAGAGTGCTGAAGGTCAAGGTCGATCCGACATCACTGGTCATTGGCGCCGGGCCCTTGTGGCACTCGTAAATGCAGGTCGTTGGAGGATAGCAGCGAGCAGTACCTGTTATTCGAGCTTCACTACCTCTCAGTTCGCTGACAGAGTCATGCGCACAGTGGTGGCGAGACACGACCATAAGCATGAGACGGCTCTTGCCATCTCACCCGTGATTTGTCTTGACCACTTCCACTTGTCTCCATTCGCATGCTCGTCACATTGAGATCATAAAACAGAGACTCACAGCCATCATGACAGTTTGATGATGGATCCCGAAGCTTTGGGATCGGCCAAGTTTCGAGGTTGGTCTCGGGGCAGCAGCAGCTTTCCTCGTGGCGAAAGCAACGATGAAGCCAACGCCGGTGAACCCGGGGATCGAAGCTTGGGGCGAAATTGAGGTATTTGTTGTAAGAGCCTGCTGGCGTCGTGGTCGCAGTGCAGCGCAAACAGTTGTATGCGTGTGTTTACTGCTTGTGGACAACGTCCATCTGTATCGTTTCAAGCAGTGTTGGCGATGGTGGCGGCAGGTGCTGTGGCGCGAAGACTTTGTGATTGCAAGCATATTTGATGTATGGAACGCTTCCAACGGGTTCTTGGGTCCAACTTCACTTGCTTTCCGAGACAGTTCCCAACAGCTCTAGGAGCTGCGTAGCTACAACTAGCTTCTACCCCGCCCGCAACCCCGGAACTGTGTCACGACAAAGCTTTGCATTTCCAACCTCCGCACGTATCCACAACTACTCAGGACAAAGCATCCCCGAAAGTGGCAACCGTCGCAGCCTCGTCGGCCCATGTTTTGAAACAGATTCTGCATGTCTGTGTCAACCTGAGATGGCCGACGTGCGGTTGAATGAAAGGTCATGACTGTGAAGGACATCGAAGATTCGCTGAGCAAGAGCAACTTGACCAGGAAACACCAGATTTGCAGGCATGAGTGCTTTCGACCTCTGGAAGGCTTTGGATTGCTTGAGGTGCTTGAATCGTTTGGAGGTTGGGGAATCAAGTTTGCATTATGTTTGGCCAGGAGGCAAATTGGCGCAGGGCATGGAATCAGCGGAGAAATTCTTCTTGCGTTTAGATTATAGAGCGACGGAAAACCACCCGTTGCCTTAAACACACGGCACTATGAAGCTCGCCAACCAATGACTGTACCTCCCGTATCGCCATGCCCGTGTAGGATTAGCTGTATGTAGTTCTGCGTGCCCAACCGAGGCAGCAATGGCAAAGTCGCCTTGTGCCGTAACTTGGCCCGCATCATGCACGACCTTTGTAGATGCCGTCTGCCTGATGACAAGACCGATCTGGAATCTCGCTGCTTCTTTTGGTGTGGCCAGGTTGCTGGCGAAGCAGCAAGTTCCCGTCACTTGGCAAAAGGCTGGCAGAAGGTCCAGGTAGGATTGCGTTTGGTAGGGCTGTGACTTGTGCATTCTGTCAGCGTGCTTTCCAGTGATGTGCTAGTCTGTGCTAGTCGCTATCCTGCACAACTGCTATGCTAGAGGCCTGCAGGACACGGTTCTGCTGCCGAGTCACTAAGGTTTTGCGATGGGTCGCACGGCAAGTACAACGAGGCAACCGCGTGACCGCATCTGCGCCGAACTAGATCGCAGTTCAATAGTAACAGTCGGGCAATTGTCGTACTGCGGAAGCTGTTCTTTTTAATCGAGGCAATCTTTAACGTAGCGTCGGAGCAGGCGTTGTCATGCTTGAAACATGGAAGAGACCAATGCTTTGCACAAAACAAGTCGACGTCATGTCTGTCAAGCAGGGGAGAATTAGCCTGCGATATCAAGACGAGCACCTTGCTTATCCTTGTTTCGGGTATTTGCCAAGAACACTCTCGCAGCATGGTCATGTAATGTGAATTTAGAGTTGTGATAGCTTGGAGCTCCAGCAGAAGTGCCCAAGTGCATTCGACACAATACGCCGGCCCGTCGGGATTCTTCAGTCTTGTTGATACCCACGTCATGCTTGTTCTTTATGAGCGAATTGGTGATGTCAGTTCCGGCAGTCAGACCTGTGTTTGCGTTGGTTGCACATGCTCAGCCCCATCTCATGCTTGGTTGCAAAAGCACTTGCATGACGTCGCGCTCTCGGAAGCCCGCGATCTCTCGCAGGCTTGCTGTGACAACACTGGCCCCTTCGTGATCTCCAAGGCTTAGGCGAGGAGTGCTTCGACTGGCTGAGGGTCAGTTGGCGGAACAAAGCCTAACTCGGAATTAGGTTCAATTGCCACCATGCCGAGCTGCTCGAAACTCTTCTGTAAGCTGTGTTCTTCAGGAAACACCGCCGACATGAGCTGAAGCTACGTAGAGGCTGAGCCTAGCCACGACTTGCTTGTACATAGGCTGCGCCTCTCGCGCATTACTCGCTGTGTTTCGTGACAGATTGCTAGCTCGTGTACCATCAACATCAACATGAAGCTGAGCAGAGCTGCAGTGGCGAAGATGCAACCCACCTGCCGTGATGATTGTATCGCGCAAGCCTTTCAACAGACCTGCAGCGACGAAAACTGCGCGTGCCTGTGCTCTTGCTGTTTTGGTTGTGGTGGACTATGGAACATGGCTGACAATCGCACCTGGCAGTCTCAGTCGTCTAGATCGCTGCGCGCAAAAATCTCCATGCTCGCTTGTTTTAGCAGCAAGAAGCCATGCTTTGATTTCATGCTTCGGCAAGTTGCGCATGTGCTGGGTGTTTGCCGCCGCCTTTTAGGGCACCATGTCGTAGTGAGGCAGCCATATCGTGTTGTTCATCTGGCAGCCCGGGCCCCAATCTCAGTAAGCATGGCATCTCGGCGGCAGTAAGATTTCGCCCGCCCGTCAACAACTTCCCGAGCCAACACAGTAAAGTTTGCTCAGGTACTTTTTCACGTAGACGCAGAATGCTCCTGTTGGAGCTGGAGGAAGATGTCCGGGCTGACGCCCTTGGGTTGCCTGAAAGGCCTGTTGAACACCGGTTGTTGACCTGAGTCGCTTTGACCACAGCAGCGCGGTTGACAGGTTTGCTCAACGACCCGGACAGTCCGCAGATACAGACTCGCCGGCTACTGCCTTCGCTCATCCGGCAAGCACGCTCCCGCAGCCTGCGACTGGCCAGTTGGGTGCACTTTAGATGTTAGCGTGGTTCAGTACCAGTAAAGTAGCATGTGTCAGGTTGTGCTTCATGCTCGGTATATGTTGACTCTATGGAAGACACGCGGTGAGCAGATGCTAGAAGTACGACCTTGAGCAGCAATTGCTGCTTTCAGACAGATTGATGCTTGTCACATCATGCAGTGCGCACGGAGCCGGACCCCTGACAGAAACAATCAGATGCGACTGTTGATCAGATTGATTGTGCGTTCTCGCAAAAGGTTGAGGGCTTCGTTCCCAATTTTATCGACCATGGCCGCATTGTGTATGATGCCAAAGTCGAAGATCGATACATCTTTGTTCCAGGACGAGCCCCGCATTCAATGCACTCCCCGTAGATTGAGGTGAGCTATTCTGTTGGGCAGGTGCCGTTGTACATACATCCCTGACTTTTGGGCAGGTTGATAGGATGTATGCTTATGAGCTGTGACACTTTAACTTGTGATTTCGTTGTCGGTGCGAGGAGAATCGCTGGGGAAAGGCAGCTTCGGAGAACCTGCAGCGGCAATAGCAATAGTTGCAACGCGCATATGTGCTGTTGAGCTTCGTTCTTGGGCGATGCAGCTGGGCAGCGGGCAACTGTCTCATGGCGTATGCCTGACTTATTGCAAAGCCAAGGAAGTGAAGGCCGCAACAGACAGGTACACACGAGAGCGCCACGCCGTCAAATGCCCGGGCCCTAGGCAAGCCCATCGCTCCGGACGATGACTGCGAGTCACACGGCGGTAAAGAAAGCGAGAATGTCGGCAAGGGGTACAAATACATAATTCTGGGTCGCTCCAGGACTCCAGTACATTCGTTGAGCCGAAATTTGAGCACGGTAGCTGTGGCGGAGGATCCCACGAATTCCAAAATCAGAAGCACAAGACACGTCAAATGTCGCTCCTTCAACAGGGGATGTTTCAAGCAGCTGTGCCCACAATCCTATGTTTACTCATTCCATGAAGCAAAATCACCAGCAACAAAGCGTGCTCGACGGTGGCAACTGTAAGCTCTGTAAACCTCTGCGCAACTTCGCATTCTCCGCCTGATAGAGGCGCGGTTATTGCGAAGGAGGAGCTAGCAGAGGCTTTCGTGCAAGAGGCTGAGATGCATCTGACTCTAGGCTCAGACAAGCGATGCGCGATGCGGCTTCCACCACATTCATCTAGAATCTAGATTTCGCGACGGCGTGTTGTTTGTCATTTTAGTGATAGGTTCGGTTGCGGAGACATCTCAGGAAGCTGGACCACCCCAACGTCTGCAAGCTTCTTCAAGTGCACCTTGCCTCTTCGTGCGTAGTTAGCAGGGCAGTTATGCTCGGAGACAACGAGACAGTCCCAACCACGGCTTCTGTCCTCTGGTTTTGTGGGCTTGAGTTTCCGGGTCAAAGCCCAGGTATGTGACCGAAGGAGCATGTCACCTAGCCTGGCCCTCAACAGTTTATGCGACAACATTGCGTGCGGAGACGCGTCCGACAGCATCTTAAGCGAAGATCACAGCAGCTGTGGTACGAGTTGTGGTGCAGCTTGCAGATCCTACCAAAAGGATCCAAAAGGGCTCAAACTCAATGATGACAGGGGCCGTGCTTTGAAGCGGCTGTGCGTCGGCCAAATCTAGTGGAGCCCCGAAGCAAAACATACTTTGAACTGTTCTTCGCTCAAGAGCATTGCGCAGTTGGAAAGGTAGGTGCTAGCATGTCACGTGACAACTTGAGCTCAAGAGCTACATGGGAGTGAGGTGCCACAGGTTGCACGCTGACGGGTCCAGGCATTTTCAGAGCCAAGGTTCCGGTCGCAGCCCTGGTCCGAAATACCACCAAACAACAACTGAAACTGCCTTGCCCGCGGGTACACTCAGTACACCTTTCGGGTGCCCTGTGGAAGGTGGAGCTGGGGAAGCATATTCTAGGACAGCCCATGCTCCTAGACAACGGTTTTGTGCGAGCACAGAGGTGATGGAGCTATGTGCTGGAGGCGAGCTGTACGATCGCTGGGCTGACAAAGGCCGAGAAGAAGGTGTCAAGCAAATGAGCAACAACGAGCTTTCATAAGCCATTTCAGTGAGGGTGCAAGTGACCAGCACCATGCAACTTCGCGTGCTTAGCGACATAGCCTGGGGGCGAATTGCTGGAGGATACTTCAACGAGGACGAAGCCACGACGGCGGTGAGGCCGGGCAAGCTTACAGCTTCACTATCGGTGTACCGAATACGATGGACTTTGAGGCGGCAGCAGACCGATGCCAAAGCGAGCCCAGAGAAATCTGCAGCTCTGTAACATAGAGTGGCATAGCATGGCATCCCTGGCAGGCAAATGCTGCGTGCCTTGAATCTTGGTTGCATGAAGCGGCATGTGTGAGTAGCATGACTTTGACGTGTCATGTGCATTCTCCTGCTGCGGCAAGCGGCTCGAGGCATTCTGAGATTCTAGGAAGGACCTGTCCGTTGCAGTGCTAGGACCTATCTACACTGGCACCACATCTGCCACAGGGATCTGAAGCTGGAGAACTGGGTTACTCAGCCAAAATGGAGTTAGAAACAACGTGCATTGGTGGAGCACTTTTGGACCGAATTGAGGGCGTAGCTGGAAGTGCAGTGGTCCCTGGTTTGCCGGCGGCCTTGCACGGGGGTGGTTCCCCTTTGCATTTGGGGTGCCCCTTTGCCCTTCCGGGTCCATTGTCATTATTTGCTCTTGCATTTGTACATACCCGAGGTTTCAAGCAGTGTAAACAGGAATGCAACGCTGCGGGTAGGCATTGCCGGTTGGAATGCCTCCATGGATAAACTTGTTGTGCTACAAGACCTGGAACTGTGGCCCACTGAAATGCTGCCAGCATGTATCCTTCCTTCGGCCCATGCTTGCTGCATTACATGCAACTTTCTAGTCTCCCTGAGGTCTACAAAGACAACTGTGTCGATTCGACCCTGAAGCTGATAGACTTTGGCTTCGCCAAAGAATTTTCAGAGGACGTCGGCCCGTGTTTGTGTCCCCGTGGCCCTACTACCGGCCTACCCACACGGTACCGTTGTTGTCAGGATTTTCGTTTGTGCAAGGAAGCGTTCAGTATCGCGAAACGGGTTATGTCCCAAAGCCACTCCGAGACAGCCACCGTATCTTCACTGCCATCCTTGCCCGATTCGGTGTGATCTTCTGGTTAGATGCTCGGAGTCCACGAGTACAAAGCAAGAAGCTCCTATCAGAGCCCCGCGCCTTCGCCCATGTTGCTCGCTTCAGACATGTTTAGCAAGCAAGGGCTTCGAGCGGCCATGGGTGACAGCTCTTGATAGCTTTGTTGCTGTTCGCTCGCATCCTGTACTTCCAAGAAACATGTTGCCAACACCCGACGTGATGAAATCAAAGGAAGCCTTTTCTGCCGTCACAAGTATCGCCGTTGCTGTGCAGGAGATGCCCATGTCGGCACTCTTGGGCACCATCTACTACATCGCGCCAGAAGTGATCCGAGGCCACAGTTGGAGGTGGTCGCAGGAGTTGTTGAGGATGTTGGCGAGCTCCGATTCTGGGTTGCGTGTTGTGAGCTCTGTGCGGCTCCGCATAACGAGGGGCGTTGCCCGCAGCCAGCTGCTTCTGCTCGTCTGCAGAAAAAACTATGTACAGCTTAGCAATACAAGCCTGCCCAAACCCCACGGCAGAAGTGGCTCACAGGCCACTACAACAACAAATGCGACATTTGGAGTTTGGGCGTCATTGTCTACATGCCCTCCGGTTTCAATGGTCGCTCTTGGCTTGTGCTTGAGACCGGGCATCGCTCCCGATTGTGTAGCATTAGGTAAGATGTGGCATATGAGGCTCCTCAGCGGCGAGCCGCCGTTCTACGATGGCCACTGCGATGACTGGACGATGCAAAAGATCTTGAACGAGCCGCTGGATGTCTACGGTGGCCTGCCTGGACACGGCAACTGAAGGCATGAAAAGTCTGTTGTCGTCGTTGAGCGCTGCAGAGCATCTTCCAACCAGAGGTCCAAACTGGGACGATGTGTCGGACGAGGCGAAAGACTTTGTGCGGGCACCTCAGTGCTTCCGCACGAGGGGCCTGGCTGCGCAAGTTTGCCGCTCAGAATCGACTTGCACATTGGCGGTCCTTCGAGCCGAACTCGAGGTCCCAGCTTCTCGATCGTGACGTCTCCGCCCGTCCTGGTGCCCGGGATGCCAGCCGTCACGAGTGGCTGCAGGATTTGCTGCCAGGTGGGGCTGTTTGTCAGGGCCGTTACCGAGCCGTGCCGGTAATTTGGTTGTGGATTAGATTGACAGACCAGTTCTGCATTGCCGGGATGGCTTCAAGATTATAAAGCCTGTCAGTCTTCACAGCCACTACTGTAAATGGTGTTCCAGCAGCTGAAACGGCAGGCCCCGCAAACTCAAGTGCAGAAGAAACGATACCCGGGACACCCTTATAGCAGCACCAGCTGCCTGCAGCAGTTGCACTCCCTTTCAAGGTGGCATGAGGCGGCAGATCTCCAACCAACTCATCAACCAAAAAGTTCTTGAAGACCTGCGGACGTTTGCTTCCATGAGCCTGGGCATCAACAGGATGTGGCACGCGCGAAGAATGCCCATTGCTAGCACGGGGACGTGGGGAGTGGAGGGTGATGAATGGCATGTGCCGACAGCACAGGAGCACGAGCGGGGCGAAGCTATGCAGCCACACCTATAGTGGTCATGTTCGGTGGGGCAGCTGGACTTGTGCAGTGCACCGTGCGGTTCATAGCACCTTCTAGTTTACGGCACTTACTGAAACTGTTACAATATTGCGTTGTGTTATTTCGGGTTTAGCAGAATATGTTGTCATCTTTTGCGATGTTCTAATATCTTCTGCCATCTTAATTCTCTTACTCATGTTATCTAAGTTCTATTGCATGGTCACATACAGGCAGCTGTGAGTACATACATATATAGATGTATACGCACACATAAACATACGCGTACATGTATGTGCGTATTTATGCACACTTCGGTACATGTGCAGGTGCACACACGCACCCATGTGAGCGCGCCTGTATGCTTGGTGTATGGCCTGCAAGCACAAGAGAGAGCTTCTGCATGTAGTGTATGCATGCACGACCACAAAGAGGCGTGTGTCAACATGGAGAAGCTATGTCTCCTAGTGTTGCAGTACACGAAGATTGTACCAGTTGCACGTGTAGCATGTAGCAGTCTAGCATCTCAGGAATGCCATGAAGCGAGCGACCTTTGGTCTCATCGCCTACACCATGGCCGGGGACGCCGACCTCTCGGACCTGGAGTTGGAATTCCGCAAACTGGACAAAGAAGGCTCCGATTTTTTTTTTGCTCGGGTTGCTGGGAAGTGATAGCCAAGCCTTACTCCTTGCACAGGCAGTGGCACCATCCTCAAGGCAGAGCTGGCAGCTGCCTTTGAGAAACAGCTGGGCATGTCAGCCGAGGATCCGGTATCTTTAGACATCTTTCTGTTGTGCATCGAATGTACCGGTCTGGGCGCACTGCAAAGGGAACGTCATCATCTTCTCTTTACAGCCAGGTAATCAACTGTGCACGTCGGGGAAATGTTGCAATGGAGTTTCACAGCCACCAGCTTCCAAAGGTATTCTGTGGAGTGAGGGCCGCTACTACACTCTGTTTGCTTCTACGTTAGGCGAGCTTACGTTAGTCGCAGACATCGGTGCAAGCGATGTTCCGTGAGTGCCGGTGTTATTCTCAGATGCAGTGAAGGCACTAGTTTCGGCTGAAGCAAAGTGGACAGGGTGGCATGCCGTGTTTTTGTTGTGCAAGTATGACAACCCATGCTGAGGTCCATGCTTGGGGTTTGGGCACGGCGAAAGCTGACAAGTGTGTTGCGTATTTGCAGTGTTGCAGATCATGCACGTGCGAGGTCAATGTTGAGGCAGGCCTGGGAGTGACAAAATTACATTCCAACTTGCCGACCACCCTTCGGCGCAAAACGCTTTTGCTGAAAATGATAATGGCCCGCAGCTTGCTCTTGAGATTTGTAACCTCGTACGTCAGCAGTATTGACCGCGGAAGCGTGAACCCTTGCATCGGAGGCCTTGAAACGAGCTGGTTGCTCGAAGTCCCCATGTCAAGTGTTTTCTACATTTATTATCGGGCGTCAGGAGTCGAACGTCTTGTTTGATCGACTTGACATCACCGGGGACCATGAGATTGAGTATAGTGGCTTGGACGCCTTCTCAGCTCTGCTTAGTGCATTTCGAGCTCAGTCGACCCAGGCGAGTTCATCGCTGCTGTCAGCGGCAGTCGCTTCATGTGCAACGAGGCACTGATCAAGCAGGCGGCCAGCTACTGTAGGACACGTCTGACACTACTTTAGCAAGAATTATTTGGGATGTTTGGGCCTCACCGTGGGATGGTGGTCACGTGATTGTTTTTCCTTCTTCGAGGTTCCACTCGCTTAAACACCGATTCTTCCCGAAAGCCTAGTGCTCCGAGCAGGCCTTCAAGCGTCTGGACCGAGATGCAAGCGGAGTCATCACGGTCGAAAACCTGCGTGAGGTGGGTCCACATGTGTCAAATCGGACTGCAGCAATCACAGCTTCGAACGAGTTTCGAACGCGAACGTGTGCACGCAGAATCACGCAGATGAAGCTGCCATGCTGAGCTGGCAGGTTTGAGGCTGCATCTGAAGTCCAACCTTTTTTTGCGCAAGAAACTGAGATAACATGTTGTCGCCAAGAAGGTCTTCGGCGATATGTTCAATGGCACGAAAGTCGAGGATATCATGAAGCAGGTGCAAAGCTCAGGCGTATCATGTCGACCCTGCAGCCGCTTGCGGCTTGTTAAGCCTCCTTCCTTTTACAACGCAGTGGACCCCCAATTCTACTCTGTCATGGCATCAGCTACAAGCAGCCCCAAGTCAGCCAGTCTCGGCTTCAAGAGCGCAAAGCGTTTCGATGGCAAGTGTGTGTGTGTGTGTCTGTACGTGGAGGTGTATGCTGAGGCACCGGCCAATGCTGTGGGTAGGTCACTTCCCTGCCTCAGGTCGACTACAAACATACCGGTGTGATCGACTACGATGAGCCGCTAGGGTACTGAATGGGAGATGGGCGCCATGCCGTCAGTCCTGTGTTTCGACGATCTTCATATTAGTCTCTGTATTCCGCGTTGTTAACGCGTTGTGGGTAGGCAGTATGCGGCATCTTGCCTGGTGCTAGTACAGTTGCGTGGCCCAGCCGCCTCTGAACCTCACTCGGCTGCCGACCCTAGGTTCGTTCAGGCTATCATGGAGCTGGGTCCGGATGGAAGTCCGGCAAGCAGTGCCCCCCTCGGGCTTCGCCGAGCTGTCGTAACTCAGTACTTTTCACATGGGGTGGACTGGACCAACATGGACATCGAGGAAGAAACCCAGCTTGTGCACCGTAGCCTGGACACTAGCGCAATGCTTGACGTGTGGTGTACCATGAAGCCTGATCCCTCCTCCTGGGCATAGTCGATGTGCAGCTTGCTTGCCAGGTCCAGGAGAATGCAACCTTCGCAAGAGGATTTCCAGGGCATACGAGTTCACTTCCGTCGGGCGGAAGACAAGAAAAGGTGGGGTCAGACGCAGTCTGAGCAGTCCGCTAGGTGCTTTTAGATTCACATAGCGCGTTTGAAGCTCAATCCTCGAGGCCATTGTACTTTATGAAGTTGTTTATATGTGAGGTGTTGGAATAGCTCCTGAGTCATCCTCTATGGGTAGGAACGAAAAAGTTCATCAAGAAGAAGAGAAGCAACAGCGATCCCCCTGCGGCAGCTGCAGCTGCCACCTATACGTGGCAATGACAACGTCATCACCACACGATCAAAATGCTTGCCACATCCTGCGACGACCGCTCTTGCGAAACGACAACGGCTTCGAATGATACAACAACTACTACTGCTGCAGCTGCTCGTCCGGACGACTGCCACTACTAAAGTTACCATTGTCACCACTACCACTGCTACTACTCCTACCTATCCCTACCCCGACCACTGCCACCCCCTCTGCCACCAGTACCACTACGACGACCACTACCACTACCACCACCACCACCACCACCACCACTACTGCCACCACGACAACGACGACGACGACGACTACGAATACTACTATTCCTGCTACTATCACTTTTGTTGTTATTTGTTTTTTTTACGGCTATTTCTACTGCTAGTGCCTGTACTAAAAAAACACTACTGGAACCACGACTGCCGCTACTACCACTACCAACCACTGCTACCACTACTGCCCCTGCTACCACTACTATCACTACTATCGCTGCTACTACCACTCCTCCTCCTCCTCCTCCTCCTACTTCTTCTACTACTACTGCTGCTGCTCCTGTTGCCGCTGCTATTACTACTACTACTACGACGACGACGACGACGACTACTACTACTACGACTCCTACTCCTGCGACGACGACGACTACGACGACGACTACTACTACTACTATTACTACTTCCGCATGGTCATCGCCACCATACGGCTCATGATTATCACCCGGACTCGCCACTCATGACAATCACTTTGTTGATGTTGCTTTCTACGACTGCCAGTAGCGGTGATAGTGCTGGAAGCAGCAGAGCCTGCAGCGGACATAATTTCTTTGTTTCGAGCTTGCCAGGCCGCAAGATCATTCCAAAGAAGCCTGGTTTGATTTACAAGCCGTCGCAGAAGTTTCACGCGGCTCCTGGGAATGAAATGTCCCGACACGCTCTAGAATCCGCGACATCTAGCCCTTCGCGAGAACTTGTGTCCACGCAAGGTTCGAACCGCTCAGCATAGCCATGGTCATCATCATGGAATGCTTGGGACCAAGCCTTTCAGTCGCTGGCGAGGTTTGATGTTGTTGGAACCAGGACGGCCTCTATGAAACCCTGCCTAAAATCTGTTCGAGGATCTCTGCGTGGAAAGGCACCTGAATTCCATCATTCGAATCCAATTCTCGCGAGATGTGAGACCTATGGGCTCTCATCCGAAGCATTCACTCTTAGTTGTCAAAGCTGGCCAACTCAACGACTCCGAGGCCACGTGCTTTGGGCCGCGGTTGGCACACACCGGACATCTCAAGGCCCGCATATTGGATAAAGAGACAGTGTTCCAGGCACAGGCACGGAGTCATCTCTTGTTGAGCAGCAGGATCCCGCCGGATGCTTGCTTTCAGTCATTCGCCTATGGACATCTTGACAGCAAGATGTGTCTGCTCTCCAGGCATCCGAGTCGAGAGTTCAGCTGCGGACTTAGGAATTTCTGCTTCTTGTATCCTGCAGTCCCGAGCAAAGCTGTCGCACGCCCGGCTTCATATGTGTTGCCCACCGGAACTTTGTAGTTGTTACCCACAGAATCGCGTAAGATTTCCGCAGAGTCAGTCAGTCCGTCAGCCATACCGAGCCATACCTGATGTACATTGGCAGGCTGCCAGTCGCCCTGGGTACCTGTGCGTGTTTGTTTGCGGGTGGGTGTTTGTTTGTCCGTAGCTGAGGCCTGGACGAGATGAATGTGACGAAGATGATGTCTGGGGACTCGAAGCTTGCCCGCATTCCAGCATGATGTAATGAGGCTATGCGGACATCTAGATCTAGATGGTATGGATGGTATGCGCGCGGCTGCTATAGATGTTCTGGCCTCCCGTGGGCGACTAGGACGAGGAATCCTCCAGCGCACGATCCGGCAGAGTAAAGCAGAGCATGCATGCCTGTGGTTGGGATAGCGAGCGGCTTCGAGGCAGTAAGTACACGGCTCGTGTATGACTTGCTGCGACCCACTAATGCTTCACACCGCAAAACCGGAACATGGGAAGTTGGGGCATGCTTGCCATGATATGGTTTATGGTTTATCGGTTTCTACGGAAGAAACTTAACTTGTCACGCCCAAGACTGAGTCCAGGTCACCGATCCAAAGTTTGCCGAGCCCTGTGGAAGTTAGACTCGACTCGACGCCCTCTCTTTTCATTCTTCTCACTTGTCCCTTGTCTTCTCTGAGGGAGCAAAGCCCGGTCCATGGCTTCAGGCCAGGAAGATCCGTAACTTCTGCGCCGGAGCTTCGACCGTGATTTGCAGTGGGAGTAGTTGTTCAAAGGAGTTGCTTGCCTGCTGTCGTGCACTTCTGTTCAGATGATGGGGCAGGTGCTCGTGTGTGGCCTGCATTTACAGCAGCTAGCATGGCCAAGCCATCAGTATATGATGATTGAGTCTGTTGGGCTTTGGTGACCAGTCAGCCTTTCCCCGTCAATCTGTGAACAGATAGTATTGTCAGAAGAATGTAGTCAACTGCGGGACATGGTGAGGCCGCCAGCCCTCAATCGTGGCTGGCATACCCCAGACATCTCTCGACATCCGAGTCAGGATTCATGCCGGGAGCCGAGATGCGTGGAAAGGAGAAGTTCAAAGAACTGGACTTGTGTAGCCAAAGACACGTTGAGATATGGCTGCCACGGCACGAGCACCCAGGCGCTTTGCAGGTGTCAACAGGTTCGGTGCTGTCCCACTTCGGTGTTGCTGAATGTGCCCTATAGTTCGATCGGCACAGACACCTGGAGACTGGGTGGGACGCATAATTCCTTCGACTATCTTCGATTCTGTCTTTCCCTGAGCTGTGTGAGTCACCTCAGGTGTGGATGGGGTCTTTGACGTCTCATCTCTTCCAGACCGGATCTCAGATCATGCCATTTCGCAACGACAGTCTTCAGAGGATGCATGCGATCTCTGTGCTTCTACGGATTCTCACTTAGACTTCTGGTGCCCAGCCGTAGGACGCAGGACAAGTCACAGCCGAGGTTTCGGCTCAGATGCGCACAGTACCTTGGCCGGTGCCGTGCGCCTTTTGAATGTATTGTATCGTTCCTCATGTGTGATTTCAACAGTGCGGAAAAAGAGCGGGCACAATGTAGGAGACTCTCGGAAGCTCCTGGCAGCCACACTGCAGGCTACGACGATGTGAGAAGCAAGGGGCTTCAGAAAGAGGATGCTGCACAGCGTCTTTAGTTCTTCTGTTCGATGGGGCACCGCTGAGTGGTCAATCTAACACTGGCTGTAACTTTAGAGCTTGACATACGTCGATCACGACCTCACCACCAGGGCCGAACAGGCGCACCGCTTTGAGATCAGTGAGAGTTGTCTCCAAGCAGTCGCCCACCCTTCGCTGTAGCTGTAGGTGACTCGACGTAGCAGGCGTAGCTGGTTTTAGTGACTTAGTGCAGTCTTCGTTAGACTTGTGAATGGATGCGGCTGGTCCGACCAGACCATCAGCCTCGCTCCTTCAAGTTCCCGTCTCAAGCGACAGTAGCTGGTTTCTTGCTGCCATGTCCTGCGGAGTCCGGGCTTTGCGCCAGTCAAGTTCGCCAGACTTGCGACTTGCTCACTGCTCCCCTGGGATGGCTTTCTCGATTGCTTGTAGTTTCCGCGATGTCATGACTCACGAAGTCAATAGGCGGAGATATGCTGCCCGAGCATACCATCATCAACATGTCGTTTGCATGGAATAGCTTGAAAAGCTTGCTGTGTCCTTCCTTGCTCCGCAGCAAGACTCGTGCCTAGTGGGTTGGCGAGCATGGTTTGTTTTCCTTCGTGGTCAGGACCTGATATGCTAAGCATCTGATGGGGGTTTTGTGACTCTCAGCTTCCCTTCAAAAAGATACATGTGAGATTCAAGTCACGCCAGAAGATCGCAAAGAGTTCACACACCCTTAGGTGCAAGATGGTCTGCATGCACGAACTTTGAGGGGCATGTCCCGGCATGTCCGGGCATATGCACGATGCTGTGTGGCTCCCGAGTTCTCCATACATGGTGGACAAGGGGTGCCTGGTTGTTCGAACTTAGGATCGCGCTCAGAGCAGTCATTCTCTTAATTCCCTTTGTGTACCCTTACGAAACGGCTTGCGCCATGCAGGCGCCTTGTCCACCCGAGGCTCCGTCTGCAGTTTCGCATAGATTCGTCCAAACCAGACTGCATTGCTGAAAGTTTCTGTTTACAACTGTTGTGTCTCGAACACTAGCATGACGGTGAGCCTGCGATTTTTATCTTTCACGATGATCAGGAGCACTCAACACTAAGGTAAGGATCTCAACAGAGGAGGCTGTGCAACGATGGCAACTTCGCGGAGCCCAGTGGAAACACCAAATTCACACCCCAGCATGCAACACCAAGGTGCGACAGCACTTGTAGCAGCAGTGGCTCGTGAGTTTTTACACCACAGAGACATTGAGGACATATTGGTGGTCAAGGGAAGCTGCAAGTGCTCCTGATTGCTCCGCTGCCGTAGCGACATTGATGTTAGAAAATGCTAGGTTTTACCAGGGTTGCCATCGCTCTGGATTCTGAGCAGACAGACCTTTGCTTCGACAGGTATCGGCACTTTGCCCAAAGGTCACTTTTCCTCATCTGCTCGTTGATAGACGCTCACCGATAGTTGCCTGCGCTCTCACTTGGGATCTACACTTGCGGCCTTGGCTCCCTTCAGGCGGTGGCTACGGAGCATCGCCTCGTTGCCTAGGGCCAGCTCTCCAAGAAATCTGGTTCTTCACAAACAGTTTAAGTTCAGCCTACGGATCACTTCTTCTTACAAAAGTGCAGATCTCGCCAAGTGGAGCGGCGAAACGAGGCATGGCTGTCCTCCTGTGCTGTTTCGTGTCACTCGAGTACTTGTTGGACCCTCTGGCCAGCATACACAAGTGCAAGATTCTGTAGACCCAAAATCTGTGGCACCTGATACGGCACAAGCGGTAGCCGTCACCTTGCCCAATGCGGGTTTTGGTGGAGCCATGACCCTTGGAGTTGGGCACCTTGTGGATGGCTGTGGCTTTGGGTCATCTTCTGATGAGTCCTAGCATCGGGGCATGTAGGGTCGCATTGGGGGCATGCTTGCAATTAGGTCATTTCTGGGCTCTTGTTAGGAAAGATGTAACCGGTTATCTCATGAGCTTTGGCACTTTGACACCCTTCCATTATGTCACATGGCAAGCATCGAATCAGCCAACAGATTTCGAGATATCGCTTCACATGCTGCAAGCTTGAGACGGGGTTTGACAAGAAGACTGGACACGCCAAGGGCAGGATTGGAGTTTTCGAAGGTTGCCGCATGGCCCAGAGCTTCTCGCGAAAATCACATGGACAGCCCATCGTTGACAGGCCTTCGTGCAGGAAGCCTGGTGCAAACGTCTTGTGTTGCCTGGTGCCGAAATACCTCTCGACAGCCAATGTGACCCAGATCATGCGGTAGAAATGGTCTCGAGTTGGATATAGAGGGTCAGGTTCCTGGAGTCAACCCGGATTGCGGTCACAAGTTGCTGAAATATTGGACGTGTCAGGAAATGAGGCTACCTGAAACCTCGCACTCCAGCAAGTTTTCTGGCCAGAGCGTGACTCAGATCCTCCGTGTCAGGATACCAAGCTGTCGAGCTTTGTGCGAGGCTTTTGGGCAGCCAGAAGCTCGAAGCTGTTCTGGCAGCTGATGTTTGAGCGACTGCCCATCGCAGCTTCAGCCACGAGGGGCCAACAACCACTTCTGGGGTTGGATCGTGCCTGCCATCACTGCATTGGCCAAGCACCCCGCTTTATCAGCATCATCCGTTCTGAAAGTCGAAGTTTCCTATTGGCAAGAGTTTGTAGGAGTCGTAAAGTCGTGGATTGCCGGTTGAGGCGTCTTGCAGTTCCAGAGTCCGGAGAGTCTAGAGGTCTGTTGTATTGTGTCGTAAATGACTTCATGCTCCTCGCGAACTGTGGCCGCAGCGATGAGAGCACTAGTCGCGAATCTCCCAAACGAAGCTATGTTTTTTCGGGCATGCAGAAGACAATGCCTTTCAGTATGCAAGGAGCGGGCTTGCCAGGTCACCTTTCCCAAAGCTGCTTTCAAGTGGCAGACACAAACGCGGCTGTTCTGGCCCTGCACTTTAAACGGTGTGGTCTCTCGATGCCGGGCAGGCTTTCCCAACATACCCTTTACAGTTCAGGTGAAGCGTGGTGAAGCCGAGACTGAAGAAGGATGCCAGAATTGCAGCTGTTCGTGCTGCCCTCCCCTCCAAACAAAAGAACTAAGTAAGGTCTTGCGTAGACGCATGACACTCAAGTCTTCATGCAAGCCGTGTTCATCATTGTTGTTCTGCAGTTGCTGCAAAGAAGTGCCTCCAGCAATACATCTAGCTCATGTCACGATGTGGTCCATCTTCAACTACACCGTGTTTCCCAAACAAGGAATAGCTCCAATGTTGTGTGGAAGCTGCGCCCCGAGGGGCCACATCACACCCCGTCGATTCGGCCAAGCAACTGTGCGACTGAGACGTACGAACTCCTTGTGCGCACCCGAACGAGGCAGCTGACCATGATTTATCACCGAGCCTTCCATCGTGACAGGGTTCGAGCCGGAAGTTCGTATCTCACTCAGCCCCGACGGCCGTGAGTAAGCCTAGGAAACCAGTCCTTCTCGCTGCAGGCGAAAACGAACACTGCTCCCTCTCTGAAGTCTGAAGCTGGCGGTACCACGCAGGGGTCACTAAGCCGAAGGGTTGCAGACATTTCATGCTGCTAGCAACCTAAGCCTTCATTTACCTCGGAAGCATTTCTGCAGGTGATGGCCATCCACAAGCGCTGCGGCTCTGTTTTGGGTGGTGTTCATCTCGAGGCTCTTTGACTTCGAGCCTGTGGTAGCAGCGACATCTCGGCGAAGGTTCTACAGGAGTCGTTTGTCGTGTCCTGACATGCCTTCACTTAAACTATTCCTCCGCTCCCTGTCCAAGTTCCCGGTAGCTCGGAATCAGGCGAAGACAAGAGCATGCACTAGTTTGCTGCGTCTGAAGTTGCGGGCGGTATTTGATCCTCGTTGTCTCTACCTCAGAGCAATCAGGCCTTGTCTTAAGTGATCACCTGGTCTTGGGTTTCAGTGTTTGGGGAGAGCATGGCATGCCTGCAGATACTTCGACGGAGCTCGAATTCTGCGCCGCGTAAGACTACCACTGCCTTGGACCATGACAGGTGACTGGACAGGCTACCGTGACAGAAGTTGCCGGAATCCCAGCTAACATGTGGAGTCTGGTCTTGGATGCTGGCCTCAGTGCATGGAGCAAGCGACGAAAGCCAGCCAGTTGCCGACAGGTGCCAGGAGATATTCATGCCATGGCCTTCGTCTACAACTTAGCGATTCAATCTTGTTCGTGGTGTGAGGTCGGTGGTTCTGTGGGCCTGACGGAAGAGATGCCGAGGGCTCGAAGATCTTGCGCTGTCTTCAGTTGGTATCAACACTTCATCACTCTTCACCACTCCTCTACTTACATCCTGCTGTACTTCGTGCCCACATTGCAACACACTCCAGGTGGTTAAAACTTGTTACGTAAGCAACAGATACCTTGTTGGTTGCTGAGGCTGACCAAGAACTACGAGACCTACTGTGACCCACGTTTGAACTACTCGCAAGCCATCGAGGCGCGTGCAAAGTGTTCCGGTCAGTGAGCTCTCGCGAATGCGGACATGCTAAACGGCGAAGTGCTCTGCTTCCGTGCTGATTTTGTTGCTGACCTGTTTCCCCCGACATCAGATTGCTCCAGCTTGCTGAAATGGACCTTGGGCATGTGCATGCAGTCTGTCCGTCATGAAAACATTCCTCGCAAGTGCCTGCGCGGAGGCGGCCTTCCGCGTCGCGAACGAGATGCCGTCGGCAGAGCGTCGCAGCCCCTGCTGATGCTCGTGCCTCCTCCCATGGTGCTTCCTGTGTACAAGCAATCAGGATGGACGATGTGTCGACTGTGCTGCGAGTTGAGCAAGTCTAAACAACTGAAGATGTAGAGTTACATGATGCCAACTGGTCAAGGTAGGCTCGATGACAAGTTTCGATTGGGAGAGCACAGTGCAGGGTGTGTTGCTTCATGTTGAAAGACCTATGTTGCGTGCATCTATAGGCGCTGCCAAAAGAAGCAAATAGAGCACGCCTCTGATGACCGCGAGGCGATGTTGGGATGTTTGGGGGCATTTATGTTCTGATGAGTTTGTTTTTCCGAGCTGTGCTCTTCGCTTCTCTCGACAACTACTATAGTTCAACATGTATTTACGTGTCTGCCTTCTCTGCCATGCAGCGATTGCAGCACTAACTAGATCGAAGGGCCTGGAGGTGCCGGGGGCCTTTGTGCCTGCTAGCGATGGCACCTCTTCTCGTCTCGCCATCCCACACTAACGTCTGCGATGTCTGAGCTCGCAGATATTCTGCAGGGATCAAGGCAGTAGCACGCTGGTGTGTATTGAAGGAGCATCATGTATGTTGATGGCAGTGTGAAATTCTGTGTTCTGTATTGTTTGATTTGGTGTAAGTGTTTCTTTGCCGACTCGATGCAAGAATCTACTGGCAACAGCTAGTAGGTTGCTGCTGTGGAAGAGCATGTTGAGGCTTCATGCCTATTTGGAAGCACCTCGAAGAGTGCACCGACATACCAGAGCAACAAGCCAATGTTCGCATGTATTTCAGGATTTGCTTTCCTCCACTCCGCCCGTGTCTATGCCTGACATAGCCAAGTGCGTCACTGTCGCTGTGATGAGCTGACGCACCTGGTGAAGTCATTTAACCTTGCTTGCAAGAGGAGTTGAAGGGCTGTGGTGAGCATCTCGCGCGGCGGTATTGCGCAAATCAAAAGTCCCAGACAAAGTGGAATGGCTGCCCTGAATCCGGCTCGCGTGATGCGGAATGCCTGCTGGTCGTGATTTTCGTACATCAATCCATATTGTGTTGCCATCGGAACTGGCCGATTGCTGTAGGGGCATGGCCAGGAGGCAGGTCTCCAGTGGATGATTTCTTGAGCAAGGTGCTAAGCGACAGGATATAGGCCTGCTAATGCTGGGAATGCCGCGAACACTCGACCAGCAGTGTTGACCAATTGCACAAACATGGAGCTGGACACCTCTATCAGTAGGAAGGAGAAGCAGCGTGCTGGATGGAGAGCCTGCTTTCAAGCGACCAGCCCGCACGATATGTGGCCGCTAAGATCTCGCCTTCTTCCGATCTCTGCACCCGTCCTGCCGGCCTTTGCCCGTTCGTGTAACAAATTTCCACTAGGGAAATCGCCATGGAAATGGGCATAAAGACACCTGATCCCACTTCATAGACAAAAAGCCGCCAGAAGCGCAAGTGCAAAAGTGGTATGCGCTCCACGGTCAGGGGGCGTCTAGCGTCGCGACATGTGCGACCACCTGGTTGAAGTTACTCGGCACCCATGACATGAAAACATTCAAGGCTCCGGTCACTCGAGCACTTGCTGTCGCGGTGAGCAAATCGACGAAGGGGCAGAACACGGGACTGACCTGAGTGAGAGGGACATACGCAGTTCAAGCATGCTGATTGGAACGAGGGTCTGGGCGAAGTGTCGTGGCTCCAATTCTTATGACTACTTCGTGCAGTTGTTCGCAAAAGTTTTGCTTGAAGGGGACCGCCAAGTGGCTGAACTTAATAATCAGATTTTACCAAGTGCAGATTGAGGTTCCGTGTACATCTGCGACATGTTGCAGTGGTAGGAGCTTGATTGGGAGGTTGTTAGCCGCGATTCAGCACCTCGGCGGGCACCCTGCATGGAGTGCGGTGGCAGCAGCCTTAGAAACCAGCAGAGGGCGTGCCGCATTTTTGTGTGCTGATGCATGCTTGTTTGATTGTGTTTCTGCCACACATATGTGTGCCGGTATGAATCCACGCAGGAACGCATGAAGGAATGACTGTACGAACGAATGTACGAAGAACTCCCCTCGTTGTTTATTTCGGAGTTTCTGTGTCTATGTTTTTTCGGTGCCTGCCTATACCTGTCCTTGTCTGATTGTGCCTGTCAGAGTCCGTTTCCTGTCAGTTCTGTCTGTCCTGCCTGCCTTGCACAGCTTTCTGGTTGTCGGTGTCCCACACTTTGTCTCTGATCTTTCCGTCTACTCAACTCTCTCTCTCTCTTTCTCCCTCGCGCTCTCTCTCTGTCTCGCTCTCGCCTCTCTCTTTTTGCACGCACGTAGAGGAGGCTCCCCGCATTTTCTGCGTGGCAGCTTGCAGCGACATTCGTGCAGCCGAGGTTGCTCGATCGCACCAACCAGGTTCGTGAATTTCTTGAGACTCAGCCTCATGGCGAGGGAATGCACTCCGTCCTGACTTTGGCTGCGCAGACTACTGTACTCATAGAATGCACAAGCTATGTCGCAAGAGCATTGCCAGCCAAAGAAGGACCATGCGATTTCAACTCTTGCGACTTGTTGCCGGAAGCCAAAATCAAAGCCCTGAGAGTCAGCATTGGCACATGGTCACACGGAACGCTTTCAGCACTGACTGGTTGATCGATGTTCTTTGGGTCATTGCACGCTGGCTTGAGGGGTTGGTGTTGCTCTCGTAAGTGTTTCCATGCGTGCAGATGTGCATTCACGTGTTGGAGTGCTGCGAGCGGCTCATACAGTCAGCCGGGCACACGGCCGTCCTGCAACAATGGAGGCCTGTGCCGTAGCCGAAGGGTGGTCGCTCGCTAGACGTGGTTTCCCGATGTTTTCCCACGATCCGTCAGCATGGGCTAGTCTTCGAGTGCCTGTCCCGTCGCGGGTCTCGTCATTGCAAAGCACCGGTAGCTGCAGCGTTCCACTCCGTTCTCAACTTGGAATCGTCCGAAGCCTTTGACCGCACCTTCACGAAAGTTCCTCCGGGGAAAGGTGAAGATCTTGCAAGCTGATGGACTGCCGCAGGTGCCACGGAAGAATAGATGACTGGTTGAAGAAATGCGTCTTTCCGGGTTTTGAAGGCACATCTACGTGTTGCGATATGGGGTCTTCGACACTATTTTTGGGCTGGTGGCTCTAGCTTTGACACTTGACATGTTATGCGAGCAGCAGCGCTCATCAGGCTGTTTAGGCGAATAAGGGCCTGCAAATGGGCAGAGGGGACCGAAAGCCGATGTTTTGAAGAGCTGAGGATGGGCTGATCGCGTTCAAGGCTCTCGGCATTGTTTGTAGAGCAGCGGCGCCGTGCAGAGTGAGTTTGGCCGTAGCTGCGCACGCATTGCTTCCTGTAGGGTGGGACTTCAGTTTGTCGGCTTTTGACATGAATGGGCTTCTGTGGGTTTTTGGCGCTGGGCCGCTAGATAAGGGCACATGCCAGTAAAGCCATACTTCGTGGCACGTGCGACCTCGCTCTCTCGCTCTCTGGCTCTCTATCTCCCTGTCCCTCGCTCTCTCTCTCGCTCTCTCTCTCTCTCTCTCTCTCTCTCTCTCTGTCTCTCTATCTCTCTCTTTCTGCCTCTATCTCGTGGCGTACGGGCACCGCGCACCCATTTTTTCTGCACGCAGCGATGCATTGCAGGTAGGCTCAGAGAGGAAGCAGAACAAGATGGAGGCTGCGTGGGTGGCCTTGTGGTGGCCTTTCTTCTCCGCAGCCTGCAAGAGTATGGGCTGTCGGACAGGTGGGGCATCCCTGCACCGTGATGATGCCAACATCTGGACCCACCACATGCTCAGCTGGCATCTCAACGGAGCAGACTTGTCACGGGCAGTGTGTCCTTGCCGCTGTGGCTTCAAATCCAGCCGACGAGGTCAGTGTGCTGAAGAGCATGGGTGGCGGCGAACTTCCTGTGCCAAAGACCGCAGAGGTTCCGTCGGGCTGTTCGCTGTCTCCAAGAGAATGAAAGCGTCTGCTCCCGCCCGAGGAAGGTGGAGGGAAGATGAAGGTGCCTGTGGTCAAACCGGACGGAACGACAAGTGAGCTGCTCGTGCAGCTGCTGGGCTGCATTCGGCCGTGCGAATCTGTCGGCGGATATCGTTCTCGTCTGGTGATCCACTGTGGTGTTGCCAACAAGCTGAATTGCATAACATGCGTAAGACTGAAGGACGAGGCCTCTGCCGACCAAGTCGGCAGAAATGGACGACGCCGCGAAGAAAATGCAGGACTCCGCAAGTTGTCCAGCAGCTCTCGAAAAGGCACTTGTGATCTTCTGTTGTCGTGACGCTGCCAGCATGGCCTCACGTGACCTACAGTAGCCATCTGATCGTATCTTGCTCGTGACTTCTCCCACGTACTGTGAAGGAGCAGGCACGCGAGACCGTCCAGGCAGGTGCAGAGCGGAGGGCGAAGGGTTGAAGGGCATTGAAGGGCCAAGGCATGCTGACGTCAGCCTTTGCGAGTCGAGGTGTCGTGATGAAAGGTTCAAGTTGAAAGGTAGAGAGAGGCAACAGCCACGAGATCTATGACCATGTTACCTCAACTACTTTACTCACGTTTACTGGCTTTTGGTGCTGTCGTGTGCTTCACGCGGGTGTTGCCATGGCCGCTGCGACAGTCAGTAGGTTAGATTTGGACAGAGTCGCGGTTGCTCGGCGTGTACTGTCTTGCCTTCTAGACGAAAAGCCACTGGGATGGCAGACAGATGGCAGATGTGTCACGGCTGGCCAAGCGTGAGTGCCAGGCTCTACTGTCAGAACTCCTCCGAGACCAACCCGCCAGTCCGGCGCCGTTGAAAGCATGCTTCGTTTGGAGACTCTGCACGAGATTCTGCTGACAGCCTTGACAATCACGGCCAGCCAGGCAGATCCTTATGCGTTCATGCTGCAGCGTTTGAAGGCGTCCAAGGCGCACGGGGCTTTGAGACTGTAAGAAAGTAAGTTGACCACCACGCATCATTTTCAGTTTCGTCGTCTCTTTTTTGAGTTCTGTGGTAGCCCGGCAGCCAGCATTTTTCGCCGATGGCAGGACAATGGCGGCTTGAAGCCGTCAGAGGGCGTGGCGTAGCTGCAAGATCGGTTCAAAGAGACATGACCCTGGTGGCCATTCTGCCAAGAGCCAACTGGCCGATAGCTGGCAGACCCACCGTTTCAAGAAGCTTCCGTTGGGGAATAGGCAAAAGGCGACCCACTGGTCCCAGTTTGTCGACTTCGGGAGCCAGGTGTTACTTGAAGCCTTAACTTAAAACCTCCAAAAGCAACCGTGCCCACAGAAAGGCGATAATAATGTGTTCAACGGCACGGAGTGCGCGAACGAAGAGCTTTCTCAAGAGCATGGAGTTTAGGAACTGCTCGTGATGTCGTGCTGCCCTGGTCGAAAGCCAATGTGAAGACGCAACAATACCAGACGATGGAGACGGAGAGCTCGGAGCTCTCCAGAACATCGGTAGTATCAAAAGACGTAAGACGCAACGGGTGGTGCACTTTCAGGACACCGTCATGCTGCGAGCCTCGGACGGAGCTGCTGGAGCTTCAGTGCCCGAGCCGCAATGCATAATGCTGCGCTTGGGGGAAGAAGATATCGCCCGATGGATCCATGGAACCCTTGTAGTCTGTTCAAAAGTCTCTTCACTTTGGGTACTAGTAGCGGCTCCAGGGTCGCTTGTTGCAGTCCGCGACGGCATCATTTTGTAAACACGTGGTCCGACCCAGGGGCCGAAGAGAGTGTGTCGTGTCGTCTCTCCTTTTTGTTGCTATATGACATATGACATCTTCAATCACACCTTGCTCTACGGCGACTGGCTCCAGCACTGTTGGTGGCTGGGCACCATTAGCTACAGTCCTTCCCACGTGGGAAGCATGGGAAGCCAGGTCACAAGCTTCGTCCGGGACGAGCTCATGAACTGCATCAAATGACATCCAGGCCATTGAGTGGAAACCATCCTTTGCACGTAGCAAAAATGCGAGTAAGAGACGGAAATGTTCGACTGGGAAGATGAGGTAGGTGTTGCTCGAAGTTTGGGTTTTCTTGTAAGGCAAAATTCAGAATGCAGCTTAATGAGCCCGCCGTGATGTTGTAGAAGTTTCCTAGTTTATGGTGATACAGGCGATGTGATGTACAGTAGAACACCAGAACGGAGACACCGCGTACTCAGCTGTTTCTCTCATGCAGGATCGCATGCCTAGGTCGAAGAAAGGCAGGGTGCTCCTTATCAGTTTCGATATCTCCAGATGCTTGCAGTGCATGACCGTATCGCAGATTGAACCTGCGAATCCCCAGGCATTTGCCGGGCCTGCAAATTCGAAGCACTGGAACCTTGCACCCTTCCCGCTCTTCAAGGTTTTAAGTGAATTGCTTGGACATTGCTGCATGCATGACACACATGAAGGTGACACTGCACATCTGGGTAACCAAGGGCCATCAATCCATCATAAGTGGTTCAGCATGGCGCTGCTATATCTAACTGAAGCAGGCTGTTCCTGCATCTCCGAGCTCACGAGTTCATCCAGCCGGGCGAGTGAGCATCCGGTAGCCTTCCTTTTTTCAAATCAGTGGACCTGCGTGAACGTGATTGGTGGGTCACGTAGTACCAAGCAGCCGCATAAGGTTTTTGCCAGTATCAACTTCGAGCCAGCACTTAGTGCGAGTTGATTCGAACACAGCGGAGGACGACTTTCACCCTGCACAAGGCCGTAAGTTGGCCGTGGTGCAGACGACGGAGCAATAGGACCGGGATGAGGATTCAGTTGTTGCAGAACTGATGGAAGTAGACTTGCTACACAGACAGCTTTGAACAACCATGAGATCCCGGCATCTTGGCCGCACTATGGCCAGCTGTAACGTAACCAATCTTAGTGTTTCACCCAGACTTTCCGGCACTCGTTGTGGATAAAGCCTTCTTGCTGTAGGCGCAGACTTAGCTCACCAATACTCACACGTTCTAATGATTTTGTAGATCTGCCCTGGTTTAGATTTTGTCGCCTAGTCATCAGGACGAAGATCATGAGCCTGGTCGAGCATGCTAAACCACAGTTTGCATGAGCGTCACCGGCCAAATAGATTTTCGATGGCTATGCCGGCGCATGGACAAGCTGCGGCACTCACCGGTTGATTCACCTCCAGCTGCCTTGAGGGGCCGATGTTGCTCTCCTAGCCTTGAGTGTTTCCGTGGAGTGAGATGAGCAGAAGTGTGGAGATGTGCATTCTCGTATTGGAGTGCTGCGAGCGGCTCATACAGTCAGCCGGGCACAAGGCCGTCCCACAACAATGGAGGCCTCTGCCGTTGTTGAAGGGTGGTCGCTCGCTAGAGAAAGGTCTTTGCCGGAAGGAGGCGAGAATCTGTCAGCGCCTCCTTCGTGGCCTTCGCGTCGTGGTTTCCCGATGTTTTCCCGTGATCCGTCAGCACGGGCTAGTAACCAGTTCCGACGTTTTCGAGTGCCTGTCCCGTCGCGGGTCTCGTCATTGCAAAGCACCGGTAGCTGCAGCGTTCCACTCCGTTCTCAACTTGGAATCGTCCGAAGCCTTTGACCGCACCTTCACGAAAGTTCCTCCGGGGAAAGGTGAAGATCTTGCAAGCTGATGGACTGCCGCAGGTGCCACGGAAGAATAGATGACTGGTTGAAGAAATGCGTCTTTCCGGGTTTTGAAGGCACATCTACGTGTTGCGATATGGGGTCTTCGACACTATTTTTGGGCTGGTGGCTCTAGCTTTGACACTTGACATGTTATGCGAGCAGCAGCGCTCATCAGGCTGTTTAGGCGAATAAGGGCCTGCAAATGGGCAGAGGGGACCGAAAGCCGATGTTTTGAAGAGCTGAGGATGGGCTGATCGCGTTCAAGGCTCTCGGCATTGTTTGTAGAGCAGCGGCGCCGTGCAGAGTGAGTTTGGCCGTAGCTGCGCACGCATTGCTTCCTGTAGGGTGGGACTTCAGTTTGTCGGCTTTTGACATGAATGGGCTTCTGTGGGTTTTTGGCGCTGGGCCGCTAGATAAGGGCACATGCCAGTAAAGCCATACTTCGTGGCACGTGCGACCTCGCTCTCTCGCTCTCTGGCTCTCTATCTCCCTGTCCCTCGCTCTCTCTCTCGCTCTCTCTCTCTCTCTCTCTCTCTCTCTCTCTGTCTCTCTATCTCTCTCTTTCTGCCTCTATCTCGTGGCGTACGGGCACCGCGCACCCATTTTTTCTGCACGCAGCGATGCATTGCAGGTAGGCTCAGAGAGGAAGCAGAACAAGATGGAGGCTGCGTGGGTGGCCTTGTGGTGGCCTTTCTTCTCCGCAGCCTGCAAGAGTATGGGCTGTCGGACAGGTGGGGCATCCCTGCACCGTGATGATGCCAACATCTGGACCCACCACATGCTCAGCTGGCATCTCAACGGAGCAGACTTGTCACGGGCAGTGTGTCCTTGCCGCTGTGGCTTCAAATCCAGCCGACGAGGTCAGTGTGCTGAAGAGCATGGGTGGCGGCGAACTTCCTGTGCCAAAGACCGCAGAGGTTCCGTCGGGCTGTTCGCTGTCTCCAAGAGAATGAAAGCGTCTGCTCCCGCCCGAGGAAGGTGGAGGGAAGATGAAGGTGCCTGTGGTCAAACCGGACGGAACGACAAGTGAGCTGCTCGTGCAGCTGCTAGGCTGCATTCGGCCGTGCGAATCTGTCGGCGGATATCGTTCTCGTCTGGTGATCCACTGTGGTGTTGCCAACAAGCTGAATTGCATAACATGCGTAAGACTGAAGGACGAGGCCTCTGCCGACCAAGTCGGCAGAAATGGACGACGCTGCGAAGAAAATGCAGGACTCCGCAAGTTGTCCAGCAGCTCTCGGAAAGGCACTTGTGCTTTTCTGTTGTCGTCACGGTGCCAGCATGACCTCACGTGACCTACAGTAGCCATCTGATCGTATTTGCTCGTGACTTCTCCCACGTACTGTGAAGGAGCAGGCACGCGAGACCGTCCAGGCAGGTGCAGAGCGGAGGGCGAAGGTTTGAAGGGCATTGAAGGGCCAAGGCATGCTGACGTCAGCCTTTGCGAGTCGAGGTGTCGCGATGAAAGGTTCAAGTTGAAAGGTGGAGAGAGTCAACAGCCACGAGAGCTATGACCATGTTACCCTAACTACTTTACTCACGTTTACTCGCTTTTGGTGCTGTCGTGTGCTTCACGCGGGTGTTGCCGTGGCCGCTGCGACAGTCAGTAGGTTAGATTTGGACAGAGTCGCGGTTGCTCGGCGTGTACTGTCTTGCCTTCCTGGGATGGCAGACAGATGGCAGATGTGTCGCGGCTGGCCAAGCGTGAGTGCCAGGCTCTACTGTCAGAACTCCTCCGAGACCAACCCGCCAGTCCGGCGCCGTTGAAAGCATGCTTCGTTTGGAGACTCTGCACGAGATTCTGCTGACAGCCTTGACAATCACGGCCAGCCAGGCAGATCCTTATGCGTTCATGCTGCAGCGTTTGAAGGCGTCCAAGGCGCACGGGGTTTTGAGACTTAAGATACCGTATACGTTGACCACCACACAGCATTCTCAGTTTTGTCGTCTCTTTCGGAGTTCTGTGGTAGCCTTGCAGCCAGCAACTTTCGCGGATGACAGGACAACGGCGGCTTGAAGCCGTCAGAGGGCGTGGCGTAGCTGCAAGATCGGTTCAAAGAGACATGATGAATGCAACGAATGCATCCAGCCCAACGGTTTCGCCAGCAACTATGGGATTCAAGTCTAGGCGGCATCGTGCATGCTGTGCTGCTTCGTTGTAGTCTTGCTCTGCTGGCCAAGCGAGTCACTTGGGTCATGCGGTTCCGAACCAACCCTGGTAGCGGAAGCAGTCTCGTGAGTCAGTGGCCTGGTGTGTCAGACTCCGACTGTTATCAAACACTGTGATTTGTTACGGTCAGGAATGTGCTAGCAAAAACCCCGTGATGAAGTGACGAAGGGTGCAGGGACTTAGAGCCAGGTGATCCTACATCTCCACACCCTTTCAAATATTGCAAATAGTTTGGGTTGCTGGACACGAAACATTTGCTAGGGACTTCGGATACTTCGGTAGTTAGTTGTGCACGTACCAACAACATGGGAACTCAAACTCCCTAATCTTTTGCCGGCTGTCCGCGTCGAGGACACAGTCATGCTGCGAGCCTCAGATGGAGCCGCTGGACCTTCTGTCGCGAAGCCGCATGCGGCTTTCAGGCTTCAGTGTTCATAGTGTTTCGCATGGAGAGAAAGTTTAACGCAAACAGCGGGAAAGTTTGTTGCATCGTCAGCTTGCTCGTGCCCGCGCCAGCATCAGCTGCTCTGCAGCAAGGGGAGGGTTCGGAAGTTGAGACAAGGTCACAAGCTTCGTCCGGGACGAGCTCATGAGTCACATCAAATGACCTGCCGGCAAGTAGGACTGAAAGGGAGACCATCCCGCAGCAGCAGAATCCGATTGGCCGATGGTGCAATTGCTTGACAGGTTGATGCTGTTCGGAAAGTCCACAGAGCCCTGAAAGATCTTGCTGCAAGCGATACTTCTGCCTCAGCCCTACGTACAAGAAGGCAAGCTCCTCCTCCCTCGATCTTGGCGGCTCATAGCGATGCAAGCATCGGGGTTGCAGCTTGTTATGCTAAACTCCGCATCAGTGCAAAAGTAAGGGCTAGGAGGAAGCTGCCGTCTGTTGAATCAATCTCAAGATGTCTCAAGCCATGTTTGTTCGGCAAGACCAGCTTTTGCTGAACCCGTGTGAAATCGTGTTCGCGGCGTGTCGTTCAAATCGTTTAGGAGCTGCTGTATGCTTAACTGCGCAGCCTTGCCAAGCCAACGAGGAACTGCATTAAGTGCAGTTCCTGGCGAGCACGTCGGAAAATCAGTCGCGCCACGCATTGGGCCCTCGAACGGCCGCAGAGCAGCCGTGCGAACCGGGCCCGGACTTGCGGGACGATGTGCATGATCTTGGCATGCAGGGCACTCTGGCCACTTGTAAGGTAGCCAACCCTTGTGTTTCACCCAGACTTCCAGGCACGCGTTGCACAAAAGCATCTTCAGAGTCCTGTCCGGCGAAGGAAAGACTCGTAGACAGGCTTGGATGCATACATACGAATCAGTTTGCAGGTGCAAGTGTCCGGCCAGTGCCAGCCATGCTGTCGTCAGCACTTTGTACCGCCTAGCTGTAAATGCTCGTTGCTTTTGGTATGTTTCTATATGCTACATCTGAGCAGGCAAGCCGCAGCTATTTAAGCTATTCAGTGAATGACGAGCATGAAGCTGCATGTGCGCTCCGCGAACACAGGAGTCATAATCAGTACGGAGTGGCTTCTTCCTGGAGGATTGAGCATTGACCGTCACCCTGACTGGTATTGTATCCGGCCTGCAAAGTAGTTGTCCTCTCGCAGGGCTGGGCCTGGGGGTATCAACACGTAGATGGACCCGCGTGCATTCCTCCGTAGCTAACACCGCTGGCATCAACGCGTGCTAAACACACATAAGCTCACTGTCGCTCTTCGATCATGGCGTCTGGCTCCGGACTGAATGCACAGCAGTATTGTACTCTCGTGACTCGCGAGTTTTGTCACACTTTGCAGTCGAAGCCTCTGTTCTTCCTGTTCCGCGGTCTAATGTCTAGAGTCTAGAGGCTAGTAGTCAAATCCAGCCTGGAGGGAGACTTCGGGCTCTGCATTTCTGACACGGCCGTCACGAGAGAGCACGTTTAGAAAGACAGGATCAGACCGTCGCATCACAGAAGCCACGAGCGGCTGCAAGGACCAATCACGACCTCCGTGCTGGAGGCTCATCGCCCGGGGCTCGTTGGTGCTCTGTCGGGATCTTTGAAGATTTCTCCTCTCACTTCGTGCCGAGGCCCTGATGCAATCCAGATCCCAAGCTCGAAGGGACCTGTCAAGCACGTGCAGATCGACAAGAAGGCACCGTTCCCTGGCCCTAGTGCTTTCCTGGCCTCGGAAGGAACCCAATCATGTCGTATGTTTTACTGAAAGTGGGGCCGAAAACCAGGCCCTGGAGCACGGCAAGGCTTCTGAGGAGGAGGACGAAGATGGGCCCATCTATCGCAAGAAGAGGCCTGACAAGTTAAAGTCCTAGTTGAGGCATTCTCAAGCTTGCGCCTCGTCAACAAACCCCATCGATACTCAGTTAAGAGTAAGAGTGCGGGATCTCGGGATGCCAGAACTTCTCGCGTGGAGCTACCACCAACGTGGCTGGCATTGAAGTACCCTTTGACGAACGCCAAGGCCTCAGATTGAGCCTTGAGCCCGCACAAGCCTCACGTTTGTTTCAAGTCAAGTGGCCTGGGAGCGTGAGATGTTGCTGAACTTGGTTTTCCGGCTCAAGCCACGGTGGGTGGCTGGAGAGGCATCGCTTTGATCTAGAATCTAGCCCTTCCTTCGCACGGCTTCATGGGCACGGCATGAGACGCAAAGCGGTCCCGCCGGCTCTTGGTTAAACTATGCGTGTGGTCGCCCCTAGACCAACCTTCCACCGAAAGGTTTTACAGATCTCTGCAGTGCTCTTGTCTGATTGCCAGATATGCTGAAGGCCCTTCGAGCCTTATGCTAGACGGTTCTCAAGTGGGATAAGTCGCAACATTGTCCATGCATCCGAACCCCTGCACGCCCGGAAGCCGCCCTACCATTTTTCAGAGATTGGTCAGCTTGCGTCCTGCTTCCCATCCGCAGTTTGGATCAAGTCTTTGGAAGAGGCTCCAGGAGACTCCGGGAGGGGCTTCTCAAAGGAGCCTGGAGGCCAAGAAGACTCTTCGTTGCCCTCGGGTGCTTCAGCTGCAGATACTGGTGCTTCATAGCTTCAGCAGACAGAAAGAAGGGACGGGAAAGGGGCTGGAGTCTGGAGGACATTTCGCAGTGTCAGGAAGAGCTTCCTTTTTTTTTACGAATCATAGTTTCTGTTGCCCTGGCCGGGGACAATGCAAGTACTGCTCGAAGCATGAGTGCCACCTCACACGGCCCTGGTAGCCACGTATCCAAGGCCCTTCAACGAACAAGCCGTGGCACAAAAGACGTCAGCCCCAACTCCTGACCTTTTCGCAAGCTCAAGGCGTGCAAACATGGCCTCCGGCGCTCGTATGAGGCTTATGCGCCCGCCATTTTCTTGAAGGGGTTGCACGTTCAGTAGTTTACAGCCTAGGGCCTAGGGTTCTGGTCCCTTGACTCGAAGCTCTGTTTGATCCACGAGCCTGGGCCGCAAAGCTGTCAGCAATCACCCCGAAGAATGGGCATCTGACATTTTCACGTCTGGGCCCCTTGTTGTTCGGAAGCGTCGTAGCTTAAGGGTTCCATTCCAATTTCTGCGGGCGAAATTACTGCACCAGGCGGCACTTTAGCTTCAGCATGGCAGCGGCGCTCGCTGCCCTAATCGTGTCGCTGGTGGCGGCGGGGCCACGACGTGAAGCAGAGCAGTGTGCAACTCAGCCAAACCGAGCCGAAAGTTGCAGGGCCAGTGGTGGCGGGTCAGCACAAATGAGATACAAGAAGAACAGTTGGATGATGCAGAGTATTTATGCGTGAATTTCTGCAGGGTCTCTGAAGTTCATCAAGGGGCGGGCCAGCAGCTCTATGGGATTTGTCAATGCGAGCATTCATCGAGCTCCAGCCAAGGATAGCGATGTTCAGGACCTGATTCAGACCAAGGCTGTGTGGCGTGCCTGAAACAGAAAGCGTATATAGGCAGTCTGAGGAAGCCGTGCATTGAAAGTAAGTGGTCAGACGCAAAGTGCACCAGAAGTGATCAATTGAAATAGATCCACTCTCGATTTGAAGATACAACCTGCACTGCTTTGCATGCCGAGGCGCGACCAACAAATGCCCGCGGGCCACGCAGTTGGCACCAGTAATCCTGCAGGAGAGATGGAAACGGTCACCTGATGCAATAATCATCAGACCAAGTCGGGACTCACACTCTATCCGCTGCACGTATCAGCTGCTGGTGGAACACTCAGGTCTCAGTCAGGTATTCCTTGGTGGACGACAGTGGTACGGAGCTGTTCCGCTCTCACCCGAGCCTGCTGCAAGCGCTGAGCGGCTTGACTTCATCTTATTCGGATAGCAGCAAGCGACAGCTTTCTCGTTTCTGCAAGCGGGCTGGAACCCTTGGCCCGAATTTGCAATGAGGCCAGCAGCATATTGGCGATGCTCAGACCTCTTCCTTGAGGCTGCCAGTTGTGTCACTTCGGGCCTCTGCAGATCGCACTTTCTCCGTTGGCGTCGTCCTTGGGCTGGCTATTTTGGATCGGGAGAAGTTGTTGCAGAGTGGGACAAGCTGCACTCTTGTGGCTCTTGTGAAGGTCACAGATCCCAAGCCTTCAGATCCCAGGCCCCCTTGACTTTTCTGAAGCCCAAGCCATCCCGCTAGGGGCCATGGCCCTGGCCCAAGCAAAGCTTGAAAAGCGAAGCCTTGCGAGTCGCAGGCTTCGCTTCGAGGCTTTCGGGCAAGGAGTGGATGTGACAATGCAGAGCCCTGGGCTACATCGGTGGGTGTGTGTGTGTGTGTGTGTGGACCTTATTCAGCTTTCAAAGCGACTTGTGTCCTTCCGTGCTGCCTCGTACTCGCATCTTGTGCCGCATTGTATATTGATATGGTTGCATGATGTTGCATGTTTGCGTTTGGCCAATGTTTCTCACAGTATCGCTGCAAAACGGTTGGCACCGTTGCAGTGGAGTTTTCTCCCACTGCATTGCATGCGGTTTCAATCCGTTGCGGCCACTGTTGTTTTGTCTTTGCAGCTTCTGACATGCCTATGTCTCGGCCGGATTGATGCGCACTGCGGATTCTCCGCGTGTAGTTTTAGGATTTGGGTCGTCGTAAGGTTGACTCTGCGCATGCTAATCGAGCAGGGGTCCGTCGTCCAGTTAAGAATTGCAAATGCCGACGAACTTCTTCGCCCGAGTTCCCAGCCCTGTCCGGGGTCTTCCAGCCAAGGAAGCGCCACTCACCGCTGGCTCGAGACCTCGAGATCACCGTCGCCGACAGTGACGGTGATTTGCCGTTCTTTACGATCATGTGTGTCCTGAGGTCTTCCGAGTTCCAAGCAAGCTTCCGCACACTGCCTCTTGGCCAAGGTCTGCATACGCGGCCGCTCGTACGGCAGCGCTCCATCTACGACACCTTGACTGTTTGGTGCGGATTGTCCATGAAGACATAGGCATGATGGAACTCGAATTAGTCGTCGAAAGTACCTTTCGTAAACTGTTCGATCTATCGATCGATCTTCCGATCTTTCGATCGAGCGATCTATCTAAGTAATTTTAACGCTACGCCGCCCGCCTCGGGGAGGGAGGGGGGGTGGCAGGGTAAAATGAGGGGGGAGGAGGGGGGGGAAGGCCTGGGAGGGGGGGGAGGCCGACAAATCAGGTAAAATGAGGGGAAGCCGGGCAAGGGGGGTGGCAAACGAACGCAAAAGCGGGTGTCCCCAATCATTTGGGCTGTGGGAGGAGGATTAGGTGGAGGGTACCTGAGGTAACCCCCAAGACGCCTGGGCCTCTGGCCTCGGCGGATTATATAACTGTCTATCTATCTATCTATCTCGTCATCGATCTCGCTCTCTCTCTCTCTCTCTCTCTCTCTTTCTCTCTCTCTCTCTCTCTCTCTCTCTTTCTCTTTCTCTCTCTCTCTCTCACTGTCCCTGTCCCTCCATCTCCCTCCCTTCCAGCCTCTTTGTCTGCACCTGCGTGTAATGCCACGTCGAGTTTTGCAGGTTCTTGTTATGCTCTCTTATGCCATGCTATGGTCTATGTTACATGTGCCATGCCAGGTTACGCCTCAAGTTATACCGAACTTTGACGATGCAGAATTTGAGCAAGTCCTGAAATCCATCCTAGATGCTCCTATTCAAGGTGATGGAATGCATAATGAGGAACCTCAAGATCAACAGCAACCATGCTCTGGAACTGATCAGTTTGGTAATGATGATCAGGGTGAACTGGTAATGCCAGCACTGCTATGCCTGTCATTCCCATCGTGGTTACCCCCAACGGCAGCAGCACTGGACGACGATGTCAACGTTTCCATGTTTGATTCTTCAGGAGTGCTGCTGGAACTTCTTCTACCAATAGATCCTCTATTACCTCGCTCGTTCTTCCCACGAATCTCTCGACCTTATCGTCCTCCTAGAGAAAATGCAAAAAAGTTGGGGATAGGAACTTGAACATAAAAATCAATAGCAAATAATGAAGGTTGGATTCTAAAAAACTGTGAACTCCATCCAGGTACGCTCCAGTTTTCAATATCATTTCTTAATGCCCTGACATATAGCATCGCATTATGAATGCCACATCCACCAAGACCCTTAGCAACGCGAACATTGGGAATGTCCCAATGCATATGCTTCAGTTTGGCAACATCAGTTTCCCCTTCTGCTTCCGCGCCTCGTGCCGTCTGTGCTCGGCGGCTTCGTCTTCATTTTGATCATTGTCATTCGTATTTGCCAATTCTGCGCTCCCGTTCGAAGAGGATTGTAGATACAAAGGATTATGGGCAAGTCTCCACCGTGGATAAACATTTGAACCATCATCGAACTCACAAATTTCGCTGCTAGATGAGGCATTCACATGTGTCAAAGCATAAAAAGGATGGAGGTTATAGCTGTGGAGTGGTGAATCAATTTCAAATAATCTGGCCGCAACAATCGTTTTTCCATTGAATTGCACCCATCCAAACTCAAACCGTTGATGATATAATGAATAAAATCTTTCTCGTTCGTTGTAACTGTTGTGTACCGTATCGCAAACGACCATAAAGAAATTACTATCCACCCACGAGAGGGGCAATTAGTAATAAGTTGTCCTATACCAAAATTTAGAAATCTTGTTGATACTCGGTCATTTTTTTGTACAATTTGCTACGACCGTGGGTAGCGTAGTTTCCTTTTGAGTATGTATCTCATGGTACTGTTATGTCGAGCTGTGTTAAGTGCAATCACATATTCCTATATGTATAATATATATATATATATATATATATATATATATATATATGGTGTGTATATATATATATATACATTATACATGATTATATGTGTATAAATATAGTACATATGTATGTACATGTGTATCTATCTCTATATATTAATATGTGTGTTTGTTTGTTTGTTGATTTATTTAGTCGTACAGACATACGCTCATAGATACTTACTTGAATACATGAGTACATACATACAATCTCTCACACACACATGCACACATACATACATACGTGTATACATACCTACACTCTGAGCTACTGTGTCCTGTTCTGTTTTTTTTCTCCATGTTCTGTTCTGCTACGTTATGCAGTTCTGTCCTATGCCATACTTTGCTCTGCTATGTTATATTATGTTATGCTATGTGATGTTGTGTCATGTTGTGCATGTAGTTATCTGCGGTACTAGTACATATATAGGCTGTGTCAACATGGTCGGAACCCAGCCGGTTTTTCACAGAACACTTGTGGAGATAATGGTGCATAGGGGACACAGGCTGCATGTGACAGCCGTGGGACACTCTGCACACTGCAATTTTGCAAAGTGCATGATCTCTTCCCAGGAAGGACCAGGAGCCGTCCTGACCTCTGTGGGCAGTTCCCTCAAAGGGTTGGTTCGGCGTGGTGACACCTTCTTTGTGCCAAGGCTGCATGAATCTGGCAGTGGGACGGGTTCTTCAGAATAATCGGAGTTTATGAAGCTGCATGTGGACTATGCCTGCTAGCTGACGCCGCATGCTGCTCTCGGTTCTCCGGGTGCCAAAGGATTTGGAGCTGCCTCGGAAGGGCTCGCTGCTGACCGTTCGCACCGGGAGGATGGAGAAGGACTACTTGAAAAAGGCTTGGACAGGATGATGGCATATATGCTTATATGTATATATATATATATATATATATCCTGGCAGCACCACAGTTCCAGAAACGAAACCGGAGGTCAGGCGACCGAGTGCATTGCATGAATGCGCGTTGTTCCGAGGCTTGAAAGTACCCGGCCCTGCTTTGTCCCATGTTTGGATTGTGCTGTGGTGACACATCTTTGAAGCTTCTTGAACTCATGTAAAGACTATAATAGAGGAATAGAGGACATACTTCAAGGCATGCTCTTGTAGACCACGCAGGACACGACCTGCTCCTTCATGTAACAATGCAGTGCATAGACGGTTTCAGAGATTCGAGAGGTGAGGTGAGGTTGGCTGGAAGTCTAATGCGTGAGCTGCAACGACAAGCTAAAGTTTGCAGCACCTCTAGCGACGCTAGTGACTTCAGTTTTGTGATCAGGCAACTTCCCTTATTGCCACGAACGTGACGCAGCCGCTGCCAGAGAAGTGGGAGGCAATATGGCAAAACAGAATTCAACGGGTTGTCCAAGTTGGGTGCTAGTGGGCTTAGGGCTTGGGTGAAACCAGTTGCAAGGGCAAGGCATGTCAGCAGCAATATAAACAGTCGCGCGTCTTGACAACATGTGCCGCCAATTTAGAACACATTCATGAAGCGTGTTTTTGGCCAAGTGGTGCTGCAAGGACTTCTTTCTCTTGGTGTATCTTAGTGAACGTACGTGTGGAAGTTGTAGGATTGCTACACTGGCGACGACAAGACGAAAGCGGAGGGCCACGGCATCGTGATCGCGTCCAAGCTTTACTCGCGCTTTAAGGACGAGGCCGGGGGGCTGAACATGAAGAAGTTTGTTCATGCGGGCTGACCTGCTTTGTTTTGCACTGCCGGCCCTGGATGCAGGATGAGGCAGTCGATTACATCATATTGGCGTCTTGAGCTAAAGTCAACATGGGCCAGTGTTCATCTCAAACACTGTGGAATGTTTTCGTCGAGTCCGTTCCTTGTGGCAAGCCAGCAGGTGAACACATCACGTTAGTGTGTGCGGTGCAATGCTTTGTGCTGGCTGCATGCAGACTAGTGCAGCTCATCTATCGACGTCATTCGGACCTCCCCCCCTGCCCTGTCGTCGAGCCTGCAACGATAGCAATGTGCCACCGAGTTATTTACCGAAGCCAACTTGATCTACAAGCCGCAACTCAACTTCGTGTTGGTTTGCAAAAGCCTGCACTTGCCCGGGCCTCAATGTCAATTGCCACTGCACATGTCTTCTTCAGAAGGAGGCTCAAACATGATCCCAGTACGGCATGGAGACGGTCAGCTACCGGTGACATACAACAGAAAGGCAGCTCTCTCACTCAATGACTCAAGATCGGTGCTGTAGCGGGGGCTGGGAAGCTTCATGGTGCTTTTCTCCGGCCGGGAGTGATAAGCCCGTGCACTGCAAAGGCAAAAGGTCCATGCTGGAGCACCTTCCTGGGATGCAGGAGTGACTCATTGGAAGCTTTGGTTGGAAATTGGATCTGTGATTCAACGCCAACGCAGGACCCACTTGCAGCCTGACAATAGCCCAGCAGCTGGATCAGTTCAAGCTGTGGGACCCTCCGAAAATGCACAGCCGCGGCCTCAAACAAGTTGTCATGGCTGAGACTTGCTTTTGACTAGCTAGAGTAGAACTGACAGGGACCGGTAAACTAGTGAAGCATTGCGTTGTGAGGATCTGCAAGGTGTGCTTAGGCAAGCTTTAGGGTTCTGTGGTGTCGCGCGAGGCCTTTGGACCTTGCTTGACGAGTCTTGGCAGCAAGGCTGTGCCAGTGCTATGAATGCTTCTGCTTGGCAGCTTCCGAATGCATCCCACATGTCAAGCAAAAAGTACTCGCAGTTGCACTTCCTAATGGTTGGACATGTTGGACCATCTGAGAATCCCGCAGGATGCAATCCTAAGAACAGGTAGTTCGACTCATTGCAGATATGTAGATAAATATCTATACATATATATATATATATATATACACATATACATACAATATATATATATATATATGTATATATATACACACATATATATATATATATATAGATAGATATAGATATAGATATATCTGTGTGTGTATGTGGCCACGTGCATGCTGCCATGCACGACACTCGTGCCGGGCAGGCCCCCAACATCCTCCAATCACTGCCCAGTTTAATACCGTTGTACATTTCACACCCGCAACGCCTCCGCATCGCTTGCATTGCCTCGGTCTGGGCCTGCTAGGGTTGCGCATTCGGTGCCTTCAGCGACAGGTTTGCACGTCGGGTTTGTTGAATTTGACAGCCGAGCGCGTCATGGAGTGGAAATGTGAGAGCAAGAGTCAGAGACCGAGGACTGCTTCGACATTTCCAAAGGCGGAACCATCGGACTTGCTTATGTGGGCACACTGTGCATGATGCACAAGAAGCCTGTCTTCAGTAGCACCGCCCGACTAGTCAAGGTGGGGTGGGCCGGGAAATGCCCGAAAACTTTTACCTCGGTCCCGGTTGTCCGATGCTTTTGCAGCTCAGGAATTGGGGGTCCTGGCCGCGCTGACCTCAGAGGCTTATTGACTTTTAGGCAGGCTGCCTTGGAGCCGATGTTGCCATTCCTGAAGTCTTGACCTTGAGGAACACTGGGGTAGTCTGGTACTCCGAGCGCACTTGGAAGACCTTTGCGCACGAAGTGGGGCACAATTTCGGAGGCGGCCTCCGGAAAGCTCATGTTGCATTTTGCAGTGCGCAGCTGCGTTTACGATGAAGCAGGTCACCATTCCTTTGAGAATGGCCAGGGAAAGACGGGAGGAATCATGGACTACGGCGACGGCACATTAAACGGCATCTTCCAGTTTAACACCCAGTTTCGAACCCGAGCTTCAAGAGTTTCTCTGCAGTGCTAAAGCTCTACAGTCTTGGCCAGATTCAGCTCGCAGTTTTGCCGTGGCCGCAGTGTCCAGGAAAAGAAGAAATTTGCCAGACCATCAACTACATCCTCCCCAAATGCTCTCAGATGTGGGAGTTCAGTGGCGAATGCGGCAACCGAATCCTCACTGACGAAGAGGACTGCGAATGCGATGAGGGTACCTCGTCAAACCCTTCAGTCGTCCTCTGGGAACATGTCTACAATGCAGCGACAGTTGCAACTGCTCCACGTCTCAGGGTTGAAGTGCTTTGAGTGACCTGGGTCTCCAAGGAAAAGATTGTGCCTTTTGCCACAACTGTGTCTTGGACAGCGGCGCCGAGTGCACACCTGAAGGTATGGGAGTAAAATCCGTTGGCGCCTTGGGGAGAAAATCTAGCACGCTTTGCATTGGTGATTCTGATAGACCTACGGAGCCATTGTCTGCATGACTCAATCCCATTGGCTTGTCCTGGGAGTTGGAACGTCTTGCATTGCCAAACTGGGATCTCCACATGATCCTGAATATGTTGAAGTGTACTCCCTAAAGACTCCCGCCTGCAAGCTTGAGATGTGAAGGACTCGGGGTGGCCAGTGGGGCTTGCTGCACTGCTGACGGCAAGCTGAAATCTCATGGAACGGCTTGCCAGGCGAACTGCCCTGGGGTTATCATCCTCCGTCTTAAATGCTGTGCCGGAAGTAGTTCCTTGTGCGGCCCTATCCTTGGCCAGCGCCAAGAATGTTTCAGGAACCTGACGCTCTGGTGCAGTAGAATGCTTTGCATGATGCCAACTCTCCGCATGTGTGAGAGCATTCTATACTTTGGTCTTTGGCCTTGTGCATGGGAGATTCGCGCAGATTCTGAGCCAAAGCTTTATAAGGGTGAAGCGGGAGAGAGTTGACCAGCGGTCAGCGAGCAGACGCGCAGCAAGCGACAGCCCTGAGCTGCAGCTCCGGTGTGAGTTTTTCGGGCAGTTTCGGGTTCTTTTGCAGGGATTGGGGAAGAGTTGGGTCGGCAGGTCCCTGGTGTGGATGATGGCTTCTGCAGTGCAGGCTTGTGCATCCCCGCACGTTGCCGCTTGTACCTTTACGAGTCGAATGGTCCATAAACCAAGTTGAGGATCTGCTGACCGTCCATCTTAGGTCAGACGTTTACCTTCGTCGGAGAGTTCTGTGGTCTCCTGGCTGTCAGACGGTTGGTTTTGCAGGTAGTCATGAAACGACGTTGAAAGACTAGCTGTTGAAGGGCCTGCTGAAGTCTCCCTCGAGCCCTAACGGTTAAGAAAGGGAAAAGCCTGTCTGCCGGTTCATTTATACTGGTCCTGCAATCTCAGGGTCGAGGACAGTTGCAGGGTCCCTGCGGAGCAGCGTAGCAAACTCCGCTGGCTACAAGGTATCAACGAGCACAACCAGTGCAAGTTCAAGTCTGGGCCTCGGCGGACCGTGTGTGTACTCCGGGCCACGTGTCGCAAGGTTGTCCTCTGATGACTGGCAAACGGAAGCTCTTTGTCCTTATGTAGGCCATGCTTCTTACACCCGTCGAGGTGCAAGGATCCCAATTCTGGTGCGTGTGTCACGATGGACGGCTGGTTGGTTGGTGGTAAGCCGGTAACCTGGCAGAGTGCTGTAATCCTCCCCCCGAATATTAGCCGCCTCCCCTCCCCCAATAGAAACTCGGAGAGCGTTGCTTTAGGATTATCAGGGTTTTTTGAATCCCGACTGTGACTCTTGAGGGATCTTGCTCCTGCCCTCCTGCATCTCGCTCCTGCCCTCCTGCTTTTGCTCTTACTCTTTCTTCTGCGATCTTGCCCTTATTCCTGCTCTTGGTCTTGCTTTTGATTTTGCTCCTGACCCCCTAATGCAAATAAGGTTTTAAAGGGCAGGGATGATTTCGGGAGGATTCGCCCCAAAGTGTTTCTAGTAAATAAATGGGGGAAGGGACTACCTGATGGTATTATGGTTTGGGGGTATGTTCGATACTAAACGGAAGGAGGAACTCGCAAGGAAGAATATCAAATTTCTTGACATTCCTACATCACGTACCCAGACCCTGGATCTTTCGAGCGCCCTATTTTGTGGGTAGGGTCTAGGGTTTGGAGTTTAGAGCCTGGGGCACACAAAAGGAAATCGAAACAACCCAAACTTCATCCATATCTATATATACACACACTAGTTTCATGACTATACAGTAACAGAAATATAGTCAAATATAAGAGCTGCTGAAGCCAAGCTGTTGTCCCTAAGAGCCGGTTGCCCCAATGTGTCGTTGCTCGCTCCTTTCTGTGCAGAGTCTCGTGGGTGACAGGGTGCTTACCGGGTGGGCAGAAGATGATCGCAGTCTGTGGTCTGTGAGCCGAGGCGAACCATGTGCTTGACCAGATCCCATGTGCATTCTCGCAAGAAGGGGACTGCAGCCATGGTCCAGTGGTTCTGTTGTGCAGACAGTTCTTTCATGCACCGTCCCAGAGCAGTGAGTTTGTGTTATTCGCAGTCGCCGTCTGTTCATTCTGTGCTACAGAACGTGCGCTGGGTAATCGGGTCTTACATGCTTATGCTTGGCGTCAATCTCTGTAATCACTGTATTGGATAGCCGTGCAATTTCATCCACTGCTTCTGCATACCTTCCATCGTCACCGACACACCGACTGTTGTCAGGACGGCATCTGCATGGAGGGAGACTGCATTCCGGCGTGGTCGGGCTGCGGCAATGGCTTGAGGGAGGCACGAAGGGTTCGACTAGGTGCAGGCTTGCGATGGATGCTCCATTGGTCGTGTCATCTTGACTGTAGCGCCTGAAGTTCGCGCACTGCAGATGGTGCTGCAGAAACATGCGGCCGTATCATCATAGCACTTTAGTTTGGGTGCTCCAGGCAGTGGCCAGCGGTCATTTCGAAAATGAGTTTGCTGCAGACGTGCACGCAGTTTGAGAGACGCACCTGACGTCTTGAAATTGCTAGTTACTTAGCGTGCTTTGTATTTTCTGAACAGGCCTGTGTGACGATGTTTAGTTCCTGGCAAGGTCTGGTCGGAGGACTAGCAGTGCAGGACTCATATAAAGTGCAAAAGCACCCAGCATGCTAGCCACAGCTGCTACCCCTGCCTGTTCTGGCCTACACTTACCTGTTTTGAAGGCTGCGTCATTCCCGCTCTGTGACTGAAACAGCCCTTTCTGAACCGAAGTTATTCGTGCAGATTGCGTGGACGGTGACTAAGTGCGAGCCACAGAACGCCGTGATATCGTGTATCGACATGTGTCAAAGTAATCCGTGCGTGGATTAGCATGTCCCATGCATTCCTCGGTGGAATGTTGTCTCGCTGCAGGCCGATGAGGAGTGCGAATGCGCCGATCCGGGGACGATGTCGTGCAGATACTGCACAGACTGCAAGTGGGAGGTTCTAAACATTGAATCATGTCCTGGCGAGTAGGATTGCGTATTCAACGTGTTTAATTAGTTCACTTTTCGTGTTGACCCTTAGCATATGGAAACTGGACTCTTTTGCCTAGTTTTGGGGCGACATGAAATGCCAAGCCCCTGACAAGGCTGCAGCACGGCAAACAGTGCACGCCGGATGGCAAGGACTCCGGTTGTTGCAATGAAGATGGCATGTTCAAGTCCCTTGGTCCAGAATCTGTGGATTTCTTCCGAGGCGGCATGCTGACCCTTTGACTAGCCGGGTGGTCAATCGTTGCATGCACACGCGAATGCCTGCCAAGGCAGAGACATTTTGCACTGTAGTGTGCATACACCACCAGAGCCCTACCTGTAATCACCCGCAGACAATTTCTCGAGCAAGAGTTGAGATGACAAAGCCCAGGGCCGCTGGGACGATGGTCATGCAGAGCAACGGCTACCATGGTTTCTGTTTCGCTGGTCTCTCGGCTGCTTCAGAGCTGAGGCGCACATTGCTTGAAAATGGAAGGCGGCAGTAATTGTCGGTGCGGGATCATATGGTTCCTGCCGAGGTGTTACCCACGGCACCAAATGTGAAGAGCTGGCAGCGGCTTATGCTCCGACTTGGGGTGACTTCTGTGGGCTGCAGGCGGGTCTATGTTGCACTCCTGCACATCGGCTTGCATTCGGGATCTGCTAGACCCTACGTGACAGGATGATGCAGGATGTATATGCATGATTTGTTATTATTGTTATCATTGGTTCAACATTGCAAAAGCCTGATGTGTTCTGCAATGTTGCAGGACAACCCATGCTTGCTGCTTGGCAGCCAGAAGCAGAAGAAACATGTTGATGTCATGCGAGCACACGCAAGCCTTCCAGGGAAAGTGCTGCTAAGGTTCAAGTGCATGTATTCCGGCGCCTGCAACGCACTGCATGGATGGAATCTGAACGGTCAGCCCCTGAACCAACTGCCAGACGGAACGCCTTGCGAACTGCAGCCTCTCGGCCAAAGCACACATCAAAATCCTGACGGTTCCACGAATGCCTCTGCCATGGTACTTGTGATGATTCGCATAAATACCTTTCGGGCATTTGTCATGGTAGCAGTTCCCACAGTAGCAGAGTTTTAATAGATTTCATTATCGGGTCAATGTTCGAGTATTTCTGCAGTTAAGACGGTACTGTTGACTTGCCTGCTTCGCCAGACATGTGGTTGGATCCTGCAACGCCGGGGAATGCATCCTCCCGCCGACGACAACGACGCCGAAGCCGACAACAACCACCGTCGGTCCAGGCACGAGCTGGAGCAGCTTTCGAGTCGTAGGATTACAGAACTAAGCTTGCATGTTTCAGCTGGCAACATGTCGGATGAGCACTACAAGTAAAGCTGGCTCTTTTAGAACTAGCGGGAATTGTTCTTCACAGATCTCGTTGCCCTAATTCAGGAAGGCCGCTTGGCTGCTTTCTCGATTAAGGGGGGTGGATCCCTTCCCCCCTGCCTTGAGGCCCCGCCCCCAAAAGGTGTCAATACAAAAGCAGACGACAGAGCCAGCATCATTCGGCAACATAGGCGCAGCATGCATCTGCAAAACTGACGACAGCAGCATTGCCTCACTTCTTTTCCGACTCGTTGTTGATAAGTACAAGCATCGATGATGCGCAAGCAAGAACACAAGCAAGAAAGAACGAAACAAAGAAGGAGAGATAAAGAGAACCCGGAGCAAAAGACAGAAAGCAGGAACAAAGGAAAGAAAGAAAGAACCGGGAAACCAGGAAGAACGAAAGAACCAACGAAGGAAAGGTGGAGAGAGATAAAGAGGGAAAGACAGAAATAAATCAACACAAAACACTAACGAACGACACAACGAAACAACTAACGAAGAACACTACGTAATTTAAAGCGCGAGACACAACTGCCGAAACAAGAGAGAAAGAGCGGAATAAGTACATGACAATACTGAGATACGTCATAAACATAGGAGATAAGAAATAAACAAAGCACGAACGACAAAACGAAATCCACAATAAGGACAGGCCGAACGACAGACAGCACCAAAGAACGACACAAAGGAGCAGAGGGAGAAAGAATGGACCAACTAGATGACAGAACGACGGAAGGAAAGACTGCACGAAAGAAGGAACGACACCCAAAGGTAACAAAACGCTTCAGAGTTGCTATCGTCCGCTCTGCCCTTAAGTGGTTGATGACTGTCTCGGGGGTATAGAACGACGGGGTCATTTCAAGGCTTGACATGTCCTCAGGAGCGCATGTCAGATCTTACCATGATGACATAATCCTACCGAGCGCCCAGGCAGCGTGGACGTGGACTTGCCAACTGGCGACGAGGGGAGCACGACGGAAGAAGCTGCAACCACCGAGCCGGAAGAAACGACGGAGGAGCCAACCGAGGAGCCAACAGAAGAGCCAACGGAGGAGCCAACTGAGGAGCCAACAGAAGAGCCGACGGAGGAGCCGACGGAGGAGCCGACGGAGGAGCCAACGGAGGAGCCAACGGAGGAGCCAACGGAAGAGCCAACGGAAGAGCCAACAACAGAGGAGCCAACACCGGAGGAGCCAGCGACGGCACCGAGATGTGACGAGATCATGGCCGTGGGGTCATTCTCATGCCAGCTCCTCCATGATAGATCTAGGATGAGCTATGCTGCAATCGACGCCGTGCAGCTTGGTGTGCACTAGCAGTCACAAGCTGTAAACCCCAAACTGTTCACGAACTGCGATTGAGGTATGGCTCCGACTGTTCTGGCTGTCAGGACCCGACTTGGCTCAGGGATGGTTTCGTCAGGCTGCTTCAGCCTCTGTTTTGTTTGGAGCCGCCCGTCCACCGTCTTTGGGAGCTCTCTTTCTGCCTGTTTTTGCGGTATTTCACCGGCAGGCAGTCCACGGAGTCGTCGTACACGGCACGGGGGGAATGTCTCTATGCAAATGCTCTCAAAACACTCCTGAGGAGTTTGTGGAAGTCCGGAAACCGTGATGTACAGTCCTGTATGCCCACAAGTGTACCCTGCATCGTAGGTTCGTCCTAGCCAGGCGGGAGGCAAAAAAAAAGTGCATCTTGGGCTTTTTCTTTGGATCAGCTTTGAAATGAGGTGAGAACATGCTCGTGCCCGATTTCACGGCGAGGGTGTCCCCAAATTAATTCCAATGCAGTGCTAGCACACCAGAAAAAAGGAGACGCGACGAGCTTCTGGCATGCACATGTCGGTGGCACCAAAAGCTTGCAGGATTACATCGCAGTTGAACCCCGGCACGAAGAATTAAGTCAAACTTCACCCTCCGTCCTCACATCCCCCAGCTCAAAAAAAGGCCAGATCTTGAAGCCAAAGCGGTTTTATGCACAGGACGCCACAATGGGCAGCAGCGCGCGGGAGGTGCGGCGAAGCCGTGTAGCTGTGTAGCTTCTGTTTGTGTTATATAGGTTCCATGCAGCTGCTTGCCCCTGGTGTTACCTACTCTCAGGACCGGACACAACTTGTGAGAGAATTTCTCAAGCTGATCAGATCGAGGCTGCTGTTTTGAACAGTTCAAACACCTGAAGGCAACCGCAATGACGACGGTGTCGTGTAAGCCGTGTTGGAGATTGTGGATGCGAACATGTGCCTCGGCCCGGACTTTGTTTCTGCGATGGTTCGAGACTGCAGGTGTGCTGGGATGTCGGAGGATGGATACTTCGTGGTTGGGTTTAGCTTGGTCCGCCTTTACAGCCTATGGCCACCCTGCAGTGAACGAGCCCAGTGATTAATGTGATGCTCAGAATCTTGAAAACGCAACCTTGCATTAACCATGCCATGGTAAGTACCAGTCGGACTTCACCGTGCACCGTCGAGGTGATCAAGTCCTCAGCAAGTGGCGACGAGCTTCTACTGCAATTGGTACTGTAGAGTAACTGTCAGCTTTGGGCTGAGTGGCACTTCACTGGAGATGCTTGTGTCCAGACTTCGTTGCAGCAGTTCCTGAGCGCGTCTCTCTCATGTTTTTATCTAGCAGGAGCAGATGTAGGCTTGGGCGCAGAGACCCGAGCTTCGTTCCGGAATCTGCAGAGCCCGAGGCAAGCCAGACCTTGATGCGTGTTCGCAACTCCAGAGGAGATACTACAAGGAGGATTCGTGCACTTGCAACTGTGGCATGTGCCAAGCACACCTCTCAAATTGAAATTGGAAAGCACCACGAAGTTAGTCCTGCCTACTGCTAGGCTGAAGTTTGCCTAGGCAGAGCATGGAACGTTTCTGCCCTCCTTTCATAAGATGGTACCTGTCAGCCGATGAGCCGAAAGGGACCGTGGCAGCTTCCGGGGGGATTCATTGAGGGCAAAGGCTCCTCTGAGTGCGGTATGCTGCCGGCAAAGGCTTTGCCAAGATGGAACGGACCGAAACACGCACCGATAGATAGATATACATAGATACACAGGCACTGACTGGCACGACGACGAGATCTGCTAGAGCGATAGACGGCACGGAGTCTTTGTTTTAATCCGGCTGTGACCGTCTTCTAGCAGAAGCAATTCGCATGTGCGGTGATTGCGCCAGCTCGATGAAGAAGATAGTGTTTCTGCTAGACGTACTGCAACCATCGGTTGAAGCATACGTCCTTAACGAAGTCGGCAAATATTGTTCGTCGCAGGGAACGGCACGTGTGGCTGGCGCTGCGCCATGCTTGTCAGCAGCGGGAGTAAAGCCTCCAAGCACCAAGCAAAGAACTTCAACTGTTTTGGCATCCGGCAGATGTCCTGTAATGAGGGCAGTTCTGCCGCTGGGCCCCACTTGTTTGATCACATACGGTAGGCCGGTGGTCCTCCCAGCCGTGGTCTCCACCGTTTGCTCTAAAAACACCAGGGCCCAGATGACTGGATAGGACACGCGGCGTGCGCAGAAGTCGTGCTAAGATTTGTCCGTGAGTTTTGTCAGAGTCCAACTGTTTGTATGCCGGCAAGAAAGGCCTGGGCTTTCCATGGAAATACAAGCTGAAGGGATCGGCTGGGCCTAGTTTCCTCTGAAACAGCAGTCTAGCGGAGCCAGCACATGCCACATGCGTTCAGCTGAAGTTGGCAAGATTGTGGCCAGGCGTCCTCGGCAGCTTCGCTGTTCTGAGTTGGAAGCCTTCTCGTCTGAGAGCATGAGGGCAGCAGCTGAAGTCAGCTTGCAGGCCCGAACAACTTAGCAACTCATGCCCTGATAGGCATCCTATTACCTTCTTGGCTCTTTGTTGACGGTTCTAAATTTGCAGCAGAACTGCCTTGCTGGTTTCATAGCTGTACACGTGGACGTAGGACCGGGCTGATGAAGCTTCAAGCTGCTTTCAGTAGACTGCTCTTCGTCTCATGACGGCTATCGAATGCCGTGTGGAGCTGGCATCGACATGCGGCCACCCGCCACAGTGGCCATGTTCGCAGACCCAACATCTACTACTTGTAGATGCCGTGAGAACTGCTGTTGAAAATGGTGGCTGCCGGACTTTACATCTTTTGTTGACTAGTGCGCACTTCTCAAGTTAGAATGTACTTGCAGCCATCAACCGGCATGCTTCTGCTCACGTGACAATGAGATATGATGGACCATGAGGCCTTCGTTCGCAGCAACCTCTTTGAGACCATTGTTGGGTGTGCGCCTGAGCTGTCTCCAGTGCTACACCTGGCACAAGATCTGGACTGTCCTGAGTGTCGAAGACGACTGCCCTTAGAGTCCGGCGGAGTTACTCCGATTGATGTAGCATTGCTGGCGAGGGTCGTCATTCTTCTCAACTGTGCGACGATCGGCATAGAGGCGAGAGAGTGCCCGCTCTGCTTTGCCAATTGGCGTGAGTCGCCCACCCGTGAGTGTCTGGAACGGAGTCTGTGCGCAGGTGAATGACACTGTTCAGCATGTTTCTGATGAGCTCATGAAGGCCGAAGCTGTCCAAACATGTGTTGAATCTTCAGTCGGGAGCTGTGCCTCGTGCAAGGGCTTATGTAAACTCAAGCGGCTGTGTGAGGATAAGAGAGGAGCGACCTCATGATTCCAAGGATGCTTCTCTTGTTGTTTATAGGTGATTGGTGTACCATGATTACAAGTAGCCCATGCAGCAGGCTTTGGAAGGAGAAGGGCGCAAGGAGGTATAGCAGGAGAAGAGCAAGGAGTCAAGGAGGGAGATGAGAAGCTGGGGGCGAGGAGTGAACGGAGGAAGGAAAGGAGGAAACACTCGTGTCCCCGTCCAACTTTCAGACCAAGCCTCGGGAGAGTCAAAAGCCAAAAGCAGCGACCGGCTGCAGAAAACAGGAGAAGACGATTCAAAATAATGCCGAAGAAGTTTTGGTTTATTGTCCCGTTTGGTAGAGAGACAGCCACTTCGATGCTGCAATCATAGTCGGCGATTGAATGTGCTTTCAAGGTCGCCTGGGTGGGTGAGCAGCTCTTCACGGCTTTCTTCCTCATCGAGTTTCTGCTGAGGCATGAAGTCGCCAAGCAGAGCTGCAATCAGTTCCATGGTCCCTTCCGTCTGAAATCCTTCGATAGGATGGTCTTACAAAGCAAGTCGCGACTGCAGGTTGTTCTTCCTCGGCTGGAAAATCTTCGTACCGTGTGTAGCTAGTGTCCTGCCCATGGGGGACACTTGGACGCAGGTAAGTCCTGCACGGGACCGGCTCGGTTTTCCTTGTCAGAGGCAATCCCACCTGCCCTATGTAGACTGAAGATGACTGTTTCAGTGCCAAGGCAATGAGGTCACCCATGTCCATATTTTGATGACCGAATGAGGTTCATTCCAAGGTTAAGAGGACGTTGGATAGAATTCAACTGCATCTATCGCTTGTCCTGACCGTGTGTTTGATTCAGATATTGATAGTTGCGGGATGTTGCAGGTCAACTTCACCGCCTTGTTACCAAAGCTGCTGTTTTGCCCAGGAGCAGGTGCAGAACTTCATGGACGCACTGTTGGTCTGGGGGTCGCACGGTCGAACATGTTTAATTGCACATTGCGCAGAGAGTGTGTGCTGGCAACTTGCTACGAGTGCCTACTTGCTGCCCAGTGCCCAGGACTGGAGTGTTCCTCTCCTGGATTCTCCCTCTGTCTACTGGGAGCAGAGCCTTGTTCCGGAAATTGGTGCAGCCATATCGCAACGCCGAAAGCGGGGTCGTAGCACTGTCGGTTGCTTCTTGGAGTGCCGCACTTCAGCCTAGTCCGTCAGCGTGTTTGCGGTCTGATGCTCAGACCCTGCGACAGTCATTGTAGCAATCACCTTGCCAAGGTGCTGGCCTCTTCCGTGTTTTCACAGCACTTCGGGCCTTTCGGCTACTGCGCCTTGCACTTCGGTTGCAGCTGGGATGCTAGCGTGAGACAGACATCTCTGCATCGCAATGGGGGATTGCCGGGGTGCAGCTGGTCGGCTAGTCCTTCTCCTCCAGATGCCTCCAGCAGCCGCTCTCATGTTGCACCGCACTGCATGGTGCTATCTGTAAAGCTGTCGTCGTTGAAGACGGTCCAGGTGCAAGAGGGTGCACGGGCACAGACTGAATGCAATCGCTCAGAAAGGAGCGAGGCGTTAATGGCACAGCAGACACTCCGACACTCGGGGTTTGGACAAGGGAGGTCGCCAACATACTGGTTCGAGGAAAGGAAGGTTTTTCAAGTGAGTCCTTACTGTATTCTGATGCTTGTCGCTTGACTCAAGCTTCGTAGGTTGCTCCTCATGTCAGATGATGGCGTGGCAAAGTTGCGGGCTCTTCAGAGTCTCAGTCTCGACATGTCTCGACATTGCCACTCTTTGTCTTCCGTTCTTACAAGTCTGGTTGGGGAACCCGGGTGGGATCACAGCTTCCCGTGCCATTAGGAATCATTAGCGTCGCGTGGCCCCATTTTTGCACCTGGCGACTGTGGGAACATAAGCGTCACCTGGCTTCCGAATGAGGTGAGAGTCGTCAGAAAGCTACCGGCGTTCAACGAAGTCTACCTGTTACTCGCTGCAATTGCTCTGCCTGCCTCCGTCGCAAAATTCTAGTCGAGCTTACTTAGGCTGATCCGTGGACTTTCTGCGTCGATGCGGACGCTCTTCTGGACCGTCGTTGCTCCTGCCTTACATCAGGTCGGGGGAGTTGGACGCGGCACGATTCCGCGATCGATTCCAAAAGAAGAGAGTGATTGTTTTTCTGAGTGGCATGAAGAGTAAGTCTTACGGGTAAGTCTTCGGAAGCAGACAGCCGCTATGCGGTATGCATCGCTATGCGGCTCGGCTGCTCTGGCTCAGGTAGTCTGCCTCATCACCTACATCTTCTCAATTTTCGGAGTCGTGCTCATCAGTTCGGATCTTGGACTGGGGCTGTAGCCACGGGCAAAACCGCGTGGCAGTGGCACAACCCCGAAGCATTCTCGACTGCGACTCCGGCCTAAGCCGAAGTGCACTCGCAGTCTTGGAGCTGAAGTGTTCTCCCGAGGCTCTCGGGTGCAAGCTGCACATGCTGCCGCGCTGGAGGCTGGAGACGTCCCCTCAGACGAGAGCCTTGGGCACTTTTGGAGCGTGGTGTTGTGGGAGGTACTGGTATGTGTGTGGGAAGTTGTGGAGCTGATGCTGGTGTAGTCACGCTGACTTGGGGATCGGGCAGGGTCGGCAGGAAGTAACCCGTGCATGAATTCCCAAAAATCCACGTACGAGCCTGATTTGTCTAGCTATTTTGCGCTGCCGGCTGCGTCGGAAATTGAGGGCTTTCCATGGCCAGAGCTGAGGATGGAAACCTTGGAGATGCTTGTCGAGTGCACTGGCAGTGTCTGGGCATGGTCGAGTCCTCGGCCACCTTTCCTTCTGGTTAGGTCCTGTTGTCTCCGAAAGATGAACCAACTAACCACACAGCCGCAACGACAACAACGATCATGACGATAGGAGTCAACATGCTGCGAGGCGGCTCATTGCCCCCAACCCTAGGGCTCAAGTCTAAAAGCCGATGCCCAAGGATGTACACCCTGATCCAAGTCCTCACGCTGGACTCGTGGAATGGCATCGCTAGACCTTTGCAAAGGCCCCCCGGTGGCCGCACCAGCCCCAACAGCCCCGCTCGGTGCAGCTCACTCGGTATGATGATGCATGCATTGAGGTTTCCTGACCAAGACCGCGCTACTAATACTCGTAGTAAAGGCACTTGAAGCCATGTGAGCAGCTTGAATCCGCTTGTCTGGGTCGTTGCGAGGGCTGGCCTTAACTGACATAAGCATTATAAGCCTTTAAGACGTGACAAAGTCAGTGAAGCACCGTTTCGTGCTGCAGTTACGTTGGTGGATGCTGGGCCTTCTTCTATGCGTATATTGCAGTGGCCGCCGTGGCCTCAGCGAAAGGCGACGGCTGTTTGCCAGATTTGAGAGTTTTTGACTGGACAAGCTCGTCCCAGATTCCGCAGCAGCGACCCTTTCAGGTCATCGTGTTCATGAATCTGGTCGCCGACTCACTGGGCTTGACAACCCACCATCGACTGTAGAAGTCCCGGCCATGTTCAGAGTGCAATGCTAGATGCTGGCTTGAACCAGCGAGACGCGACACGACCGTATCGTTGCAGCCTGATCGGTTGAGTGTCAGAGAGTGCATCCCAGGTGACTGCCGTAATTGTGGAAAACGCACTGAGCCACTCCAAGCAGGACCGCCGCAGAGCCAGTAGGCACTGCATGAGTTTCATGGCATCTTGAGATGTTTCCCCGACGAAGTTTATTTGGCCGTCCAGAGGATGAGGAGACCCTGCTGGCACAGAAAGATCAAGATGAGCTGCGCCCACAGTGCAACAGCGAAGAGCTTTGGAGCAAGCGTGATGCTGACAGCGATGCTCCTCCATTGGCGAAGTTTGTGGCTCTGGTGAGCCAGCGATTGGCACCGCGCACTCTTGTTCAGGAAGCGTCTTATGAAGACATTCCGACAGCTCTTCACCATCATGGATGAGGAGAGCAATGTGCACCCGGGTGTGTGTGTGTGTGTGTGTGTGTGTGTGTGTGTGTGTGTGTGTGTGTGTGTTGGGGGGGGGGAGGGGCGGGTGTTGCCGCTCGTTACAAGCCCAAGCGCACAAGAAAGACAACGGTTTGGAGATCTTATTTCGCTGACGGAAGGACTCCTCGGGGAGCCTCACACTGGAAGAGCCTGCGCCTTGGGGCCTTGCAGCCTGGTTTGCGGATCATATGCAGAGCTTCTCGCAGGTTCCAGAATGCTTTCGAGACCAAAGAGGTCGCAACAAAGTTGAGGCTCTTGGGTTTCAAGGAGGATGACTGCCAGGCGCACATCTGCAAGTTCCGATTGCTGGCCAGGATCGTTGCGCAAGCCAGGGGGAGGGTACAAGTTGAACTTCTTCTGACATCCCCAGTGGTGCAGTGCTCCACCAGATGTTGCAGCAAGTCGGGCTTGAAAGCGCCGGGCATGGCCAGGTGATCTTCAATCTGCTCGACGAAGGTGACGGCGCGCGAGCCTGCAGCGACAGAGCCGATAGAGTTTGGAGATTGCGTGTGCAGTTGACAGCAGGATGATTCACGGAACAGAGCACTCCAGCTCGCATTGTGACCTCAAGTTGACTCCTCCTAACCTGGCTAGTGCTACTGCTTCGAAGCGAGAAGCACGGGATGTGTTCCTCCATTTGCCATCTTGAGGAATGTGCCTGCGCTGATGCTGTGCCCAGGAGGGTGTCTTTGCATGCAGGCTGCCTGACTATTGATGAGTTCTTCGAAGGCTTGCAGGAGATGAAGGGTGCGGGCCAAAGCGGCCTCGGAAGTCGAAAATGATGACGCTGACGGATTTGTCGGGGTCTGCAGACCTTTGCCCTGCCGTCGCCCGGGCATGTGGTGTACGCAGTATGGAGAAAGACGATCGTCGAAGTACAAATGTCTCTCGCAAGACACCAGCATGTCCGACTTCTTTGCGCTCAGGTCCTGCTCAGGCGAAGCAGTGCTTCATGATCCGGAAGCGAGTCGAGCAGATCTGGACCGAGTGTCCAGGGCCCTCTGAAAGTTGATGCCTTCGAGATGTTGTATTGGAGGGCTGCAGAAGACCCCATGCGGTAACATGTACAAGAGCAGCGATTGAAGCCGCTTGTGCGGGTCTTGCACATCGCGACTGCTCCTTCCTGTGCCGCTCCAGCTTCTGCACCCAGCTGTTCACTGCGAGGAATCTGCTGCTGCAATTTTCGCACGAGGTGGAGCCGTGGATCTTATTCCATAGAGCATGTTCGAGCGAATGGTAAGAAACTCAACGGCATTTGAAGGTCCTCTGCGGCCAACTTAACCTATGGACAAGAACCTGTTTGTTATGAGATTCCGGTGCGTCCGCTGCAAAAAGGTGGAACAGGACTTGACCGACATCTCGATCGGTTCGAAGAGGCATGAAGTCCTGCAGTCTGCTGCTCACGAAATGGCTGCTCAACCCTGTGATTGCCAATGCGAATGCATAGCTTAGTTCATGCGAGCTTGAATATGGCTGCAACAGGCACAGAATGGGCCGCATCCTCAGTTTGGCATTGGCCCTGCACCTGCTGCAATGGTGCTCCGGCGCATTCCGGTGCTTGTCTGGTGTGCCGAAACACGTGAAGCCAACGACGCTCGCAACACGTGCTTCTTGATGAGCTACTGCAGCTTGTTCCGGTGTTGGATGCTCAGGCACGGTTCTCTCGCGAGCGCGTCTGGTCAGCCGAAGCCCAACTCCGTTGGGACCTTGGAATCCCGGAACTTACGACGGGGTCTCAGGGACAACACGATAGAAGTCCGAAGAGAAGGCCCTGGGCTCGCAAGGGCGTGCCCGGTGCGTTCATGGCACCATTGCTATCTTGTGTTTGCTGCAGGAGCTTAGTCAGAGCTGAGCCCACCTTCTGTAGCTGGTGCCTTGCTCTTGCAGCTTGCTCCGAGCAACGCCGCACTGAACAGGATCGGTCGACTGGCGAAGGCGCCCCGAAGTGGGAGCTGCCATGGCCTCGGCAGCTGGAATCAAATCTGCCTACTTTCCTTGGTCGGTCTGTCTGTCCGAGGGCTCGCAAGCTCGAACGAGGATGTGATGAGCCCTCCCCTTAGTTCTGCCGCTTGCCATCTTTGCCCCAGGGCTTGCAATACAGCCCTGACTTCGACATGCAGCGTGTGCCCATCAGGAGTGGATTGCTTCCCTAGCATTGCCGAGTCCGTCATCAGTGCGGGCACAACCTCCCCTAAGGACCTGCCGGCAGCAATTGTGTCAACATCTTCTACGGAAGCACATTCAAGGGTACTTCAGCATTCGGAGTCATCTTGATCATTGGCAGTGTGTCGGAGACCATCCTTGTTCGTGCCAGACTCCAAAGCAACATCATACTTTCTCCGACGGAAGTGCCATCGCCCAGGCCTGGGGCATGTGGACGAGAGCCGAGAGCAATGAGAGCAGGTGCAGCTCTGTACAGGTTTTGGAGCGCCTGGACGGCCTGTCGCGCGATGTGCGATCTGATCTACGGCATATGAACTCAAGGACCGTTCTGGTTCTAAGATCTGTAGGCTGCTTGGGGCCCGGTTGGCTGGTTGCACGAGCATGTTGTCGCATGTTGTCTGCAGGATGACCAGCCTGGAGGCCCGGCCGTGCCGCTTCAGAAGGCTTCACCTGCCCAAAGCTTCTGGCAGGCGGCTTCGCAACACTTGGCAACACGATTGGAGGAACTTGCAGGTCTTGCTGAGGACAGACACCATGCCCACGTTGACCACGCAGCCACACATTCGAAAGGAGGGCCACACAGACAAGGATCCGAAGGAGGACTGTCCGCAACTCAGTCGATTGTTTCTCTCAGTAGCGGCTCTCGCCCAAAGCCTTGAATCGGGTTTTACAGAGGACAGCGCATAGTGAACCGTGCAATCTCTCTTAACCATTCACGCTCATTCCCATGTACTGCGCCAAGGTGTGACACCTCCAGATCTGGACAAATCCTGCGCATGTCAGTGCGATTCTCGGGTAAATGTTGGCCACAGATGCATACATGTTCAAAGCTGTTTAGGACAGGCCGCTAGGAGAGGTCTCCTTGAAGACCTGCCTCCTGTGCTGAGGGTGGTCAGTCGAGTCTAGGCGAGTGCCGGAGCGATCTGAGTGCCTCTGAATCACAGATCTGATTTCATACTTTCTGGGTGTGTGTATGCAGTGTTCACATGTGTTCGCTGAATCTTCGTCCAGCAGACGGCTTGCGCAAGGAGGTCGTCAGCCACCAGAGCTGACCCTCCCTCCTTGCAGTCGACATGTTCTACTGCATGGCGCCTGTGCAGATAGAGTTCGCTTCTCCAGGCGACAAAGATAGCGCGCTGATGTTTAAATGGCGCCCTCCCCGTTTATCGCCAGCCCAGCTATTGCCCCCCAACGGTTGTATTTGTGCATAAGGAGCTTGAGATCCAGAGGTTTTTGCTAGCAACTGTTGGGCGGCACTCCCCCAGAACACCAAGAGTGTACTCTTCGGGCGGTGCTCGGCTTTCGCCTTCGAGCGGCTTTCCCAGACTCAGCTCCGACACCAGCCAAGGGCCCAAGGGTTGATACGATTCTTGGAAAGATGCTCCGTGGGCGTCCAGGCAGGGAGTCGAGGATGCTCCATGCGCACAGAGCAAACTTGTGGAAAAGCAGGACGAGTCGTTTAAGAGAATTATGCAGGCATGCCCCGGCTGTTAACGATTGGCAGCTCTGTGTTTCGGTGTCGCTTCGCCTCGTGGTGCCATTGGCTCGTCAACAGAGCCATGTACAGGTCCGGCCGGCATTTGTGAAAGCTTCCACCCAGGCGCGTGAGCGCATGCAGTTGCGAAGGATGTTAGGTCCGGCTGTAGCCGAGGCCTCGACAAACAAGACGGTACTGGGTATCACAGATTTCACGGAAGTGCCCGCCTTCCTTTCTCAGTAGTCGTAATTGCCTAGGCTGGAGGTGAAGGAACTGACAACAAAGGCTCGCGAGTTCCGACAGCTCCTCTGCTGAAACGATGCTGCCAGATGCTTCAGGCATGGTCCACATGTGACCGCTTGTCCCTGCTGGCGCTCGGGAACAAAAGAACTTCCAGTGAGTGAACGTTAGTATGTGTGGGTGCCTTTCTCTCTCATGGGCCACAATGTTGCGGGCGCGCATCATCGCCGCTTGAAGGCGCCGGCAATTACCCGTCGAACTGAGGCTTAAGCTTGATGCTTTTCGAAACCAGAGCCCCACCTGCGTCCAATGCACAGTTGCAGAGTGGCAGAGAGGCTGTCATAAGCTTGCAGGCCTGCTCCGACTCTCAGCGACCGTACATATGTGCGGTGCTGGAGACTTCAGACATGGACGTCCGGTTCCTGATATGTTGCCTGGTAATCTACCACGGCACTGCGAGGCTAGCACAAGTGTGAATTACACAGCGCTTTAGTTGTCGACATCCGATGGCGGGCGGCTCGGCCGGCTCTGCTCGGCGGCCAAAGGAAGCCAAGAATGCACCGAAAGCCGAGCAAGGCCAATCTCTTCCAGCTCGAGACAGTGCGGGGTTCAGTCTTTGTTTGATTGTTTGTGTGTATGTGTGTACACAGTTGAACAGCCCTGCCCCGGAGTGAGCAAGAAAGCCAATCTCTCCACGCGACACAGCTGGGGCATTGTTTGGGCCAGGCAAACCCGTTACGGCTGGTTCGGAGCCTGCCGGATCCCGCCGCTGGCATCTCAGAAGCATTGGAACTCGACTAACTTGACCCTGCGAGTTCACAAGGCGAGCAGGTATATCAGGCATATCATAGTTTTGCAGAGAATCTAAGAAGTTGCGTGGCTGATTCGTCGAGTTCGAGTGACAACAATAAGTTGCGTGACTATATGACTATGTACCAATGAATGAGACGATCCTTCAGCACGTGGCTGACATCAAAACTGTGGACTCCGAACCAGACCAGTGTGCTTCCTGAAACCGGCTACTCACGGGCATACATTGCTACTACTTTTTACATGCATGCCCAAAGGGCCGCACAGGTACATCAAGCGGCGCGACCCCGAAGAAGATTTCCAGCGTAGCCGCAGCCGTAACAATGGCCACGCAACCAGGCGTCCACAAGCCACCTTTCACCCTGGCGGCGTTGTCTGATTATACCATCTGGGCCAGGGGGGGTCTCGGAGTTTGTGCTTTTCTGAGGATGTGGATAGCTTTGCTGGGGCCCCTGGTTGCGGTGGCCGTGCAGATGTTTCGAACCGCGCAGCCGACGGCGCAGAAGGGTCGAAGCTTGGCAGACTTCGGTGGATTCATCGGTCCTAGCCGTTGTGACCTGGGTAGTTGTCGAATGTTGTCGAAATTCTGGCCCCTTTTTGGGTACCCTAGATGTTAGGGGTACCCTAGATGTTAGGTGTCGTATTACAATAAGGACCCAACAACGGACCATAATTTTGACAACCACCCACCTGAGTTCAGGAAAGCAGACGGACTTCGAAGTTTGGGCCACTGCCAGAAGAAGACTTCCAGATGCTCTGCAGATGACGCTTACACTGGCAACTCGTGACGTTTCTGAAGACTCCTCAGAGCCAATTCAGATTCAAGAACTCCTTCTCTTTGCCGAACTCCTGCGCAACATGAAGTCCTTTTGAGGCTTAGTTACCGGACTGGTAGAACTGTGGTTGTGGCGGGACCCACCAGCATGCAAGGAATGTCACGTGCTCGAAAACGCCGGGCGGAGACGGAACTGGAGGCCGGTCGCCCACCGGTTCGCTGTTTGCGGGTCAATGCTTGCGATGCGGGGCCGAAGCATCTCCTGGAATCTTGCTGGAGCTTTCTTCCATAGCCTTCCGGGGCCTGTTTCCAAGATGACGGAGCCTCTGCATGCCCGGACTCATCAGGCACCGGCCTCTGCGGAACTCCCCGGCGAGGGAATCGATGTGCTCGATTTGTGCTGGACGAAGCTATACCTGCAGCGGACGTGCAGGAGAGAGCATCACGTGCGCCATTTTGTCCACATAAACATCTGCTGCCGACCTACTCGGAATTTAAGCCGATGTCCGATGTGCATGTCGTGTGCTCGTACCGTACATCCTGAGTCTCTGGAGTTGAAAATTTGCACTTGCGACATGACGGCATTGGCTACCGTCAAAACAGTGTGGCAGTGGCAAGGGTAGTAGCAGTAGTAGTGGTAGTAGTATGTAGTAGTAGTAGTAGTAGTAGTAGTAGTAGTAGTAGTAGTAGTAGTAGTAGTAGTAGTAGTAGTAGTAGTAGTAGTAGTAGTAGTAGTAGTAGTAGTAGTAGTAGTAGTAGTAGTAGTAGAGCAGTAGTAGAGCAGTCGTAGTAGTAGTAGTCGTCGTCGTCGTCGTCGTAGTCGTCGCAGTCGTCGTAGTCGTCGTAGTCGTCGTAGTGGTAGTGGTAGTGGTAGTGGTAGTGGTAGTGGTAGTGGTAGTGGTGGTGGTGGTGGTGGTGGTCGTAGTAGTCGTAGTAGTCGTAGTAGTCGTAGTAGCCGTAGTAGTCGTAGTAGTCGTAGTAGTCGTAGTAGTCGTAGTAGTCGTAGTAGTAGTGGCAGTGGTAGTGGTAGTAGTAGTGGCAGTGGCAGTGGCAGTGGCAGTGGCAGTGGCAGTGGCAGTGGCAGTGGCAGTGGCAGTAGCAGTAGTAGTAGTAGTAGTAGTAGTAGTAGTAGTAGTAGTAGTAGTAGTAGTAGTAGTAGTAGTAGTAGTAGTAGTGGTAGTAGTAGTAGTAGCCGCCACGGCTCAGACGTTTTGGAAGTTTCGCGCTGGCTTTCGAACAGGCTCCGGATTCCAACCCTGCGTTGCTAGAGGTCTCAAACAGGCCTCTCTCCGAACGACTAAGGGTTGGTTCCTCCCGCTGAGCCATGTGCCATGTGCCAACAGTTTGCGTCTGAGTCGCCAGGTCCCAATTCCTGGACCCAGTACCCTGTCTCAACACGGGCCCACTGGGCAGGCGGTAGGGTTTCCACTAGCCGCGTGGTGGAGGGAGTCACTCGGCTTGCCTTGTGACGAAATAGCGGATGGCGCTGCTCCCAGTGCACTCACAAAATTATTCTCAGATCAGGAAGAATTCTTTCAAGCATGTTTGCCGAAAGGTGGTTGCAAGCCAGCAGCCCGTTTCCTACCGAGGTCAGGTTCTGACCCCAGCTCTTCTAAGGCGCATGGGCAACTGCCATCAACTGCCCACCGCGGCCAGGTTCCACACAGTCTTTTGCACCACGATCTAGAGCAGGACAGGCCACCAGGCCTCTCCGAGTACTGTCTTGGAATGCAGGCCATTTAGGCCAGCAACAATGGTCGGAAGTCAAATCATGGCTCTCCACTGAGGCACGTCACACCTGTGATGTTTTTGTGCTGCAGGAGACCCACTGGCAGGCTACGGCCGAATTTAGCGTTGCAGGCTGGTACTGCATTTCGTCTGCTTCCGCTGCAGATCCGAAGGCCTCTAGACGAAAGCAACGCGGGGGCAAGGCCCACAAACAGCCACCTGCAGAGGCAATGCCTAATGACGTCAAAACCAATCCGCCCCGAAAGGAGCCCTCGACGACTCGTGCGGACGGGGTTCCCCACACATTCTCCCTAAAGGTGTGCGCTGGCAGGAGCACGTCATAGGCAGAGCCCTGGAAGTCAGGTTCGACTGGCACGGGGCCCGCATCCACCTGATTGCCGTGTATCAACACGTATGGTCACCGGCCAAACAGGTGCAGGCCAATCGTCAGGACAGGGCACAGGTCCTGAAAGCTCTTGGCAGATGTGTGCAACGCGTGCCCCACAGAGACACGCTCATCATAGCAGGTGATTTCAATAGCTCCTTGCAAAAGCAGCCCAGGCTGGTTGGTCCCCAGCTCATCAGTCCACAGGAACCGCGACCCGATGAACCAGAGCTAACAAACTTTTTGCTAAATCACCGCTTGGCGGCTCTCAACACGTGGCGACCTCAGCCGACATTTACGTTTCAACAAGGGGACACGCGCACTCAAATTGACTTTGTGCTTACGAGAGAGGTGTCAGCTGGAGGCACTGCCAAGGCCTCCACACCACTGGCGGATTTTCCGCTAGGCAGCTGGAAGAAAAGCGGGCACCTGCCCATCAGTGCGACTGTCAAGCCAGTAAGGCACTGGAATCTGCCGCCTCCTCAGATACA